ATTGATCTTAAAGACTTCTTCAACCATTACCTATTTTGGAACAACGATAGTCTTTTGTTTCTATGGATTTTATCATAGATCTTCTATTTTCAAATTCATATGATTTATATTTGTGACAGTAGATCGTTTTATCAAGATATTACTTTTTATATTGTGTATAAAATCTATCATAGGTTAAAAAATGATTAAGATTTTCTTTTGAAAATATCTATTGCTATCATGAATTGTCTAAAGAAATTATATTAGATAGAAAGACTCAATTTGTATCAAGATTTTGAAGAATCTTTTTTAAGATTTTAAAGACAGATATAAAGCTCTCTTTGGCTTTTCATCTTTAAATTGATGGACAAATAGAATGGATGAATCAAATTTTGGAGCAATATTTGAAGTCTATCATTAGCTATTATTAAGATGATTGGACGACTACTTTATCATTGGCAAAGTTTGTGTACAATAATTTGGTAGATTTTTCTATTCAACAAATATTTTTTTTGCCAATTATAGTTATTATCCATAACTTGATACTTTTGACTTTTCAAAAGTTGATAATTTTATGGCAAAATATTTTACAAATTATTTATTAAAGCTACATGCAATAATAAATGTACAATTAAAAGAAGCTTAAGAATAACAAAAGATCAATATGGATACTTATGGTAATATATTTTTATCAATATTTGATTTCAAGGTCACTTATTGATTAGAAAAATAATAAGGATTGTTAGATGTTTTTTCTAAACATTCTTTTCTTGTACCATTAAAAAGAGATATAGCTTTTGATCAATTAAAAACAATTATATTGAAGCCTTAATATTTTCACGTTTGAGCAATGAAATCAACATTGATTATTGATTCAATCTTTTTCAAGTAAGAATTGAATATGTCTTCTAATTTTTTTGTTTATGATATAAAAAATAATTCTTTTAAGTCTCATGATACTTCCAAGTTTAAATTCAAAAATAATATATTTTATTTTGATGGATACTTAAATATTTTAGAAGATCAAACATAACTAAATGTTCTTTAAACTTATCACAACTTCCTAGCAACAAAATATTTTGGATATAATAAGACTTAAAAGCTAATATTTAGAGATTTTTGGTAGCTTCAAATATAGAAGGAAGTAAAAGAATTTATACATTCATGTGACATTTTTTCAAGATCAAAAATTCCTTGTCATCAATCTTATGGACTTCTTTAGCTATTACTTATTTCAAAACAATCATTATCTTTTGTTTCTATGGATTTTATCACGGATTTTTTAGTCTCAAGTTCTTATAATTTTATATTTATTATAATAAATTATTTAACCAAAATAGCATAGTTTGTATCATGTACAAAATCTATCATAAGACAAGCAACAGTTAATCTTTTTCTTGATAACATCAATTGATATCATAGATTTTTTAAGGATATTATATCAAATAGGATGACTAAATTTCTATCAAGATTTTTAAAAATTCTTTTTAATATTTTAAATATATATATATATATATATATATATATATATATATATATATCTTTAGCTTTTTATTTTCAAATTAATGGACAAATAAAACAAATAAATTAAATTTTAGAGTAATATATGAGATGTATCCTTAACTGCCAATAGAATGATAAGATTTTTTTTTTTTTTTTAATTGATAGAGTTTACTTATAATAAAATGGTACATTCATCTATTCAATAAACATATTTTTTTTGTTAATTATAATTATGAACCATAATTTGATACTATTGAATTTTTAAAAATCAATAATTTTAATGTAGAAGATTTACTAAATTATTTATTAAAGCTACATGTAATAATAAAGCCACAACATAGATGCCTATTATAAAAAGAAACCTCAATTCTATGTTGGTGACAAGATATGATTACTTTGTCATAATATTAAGACTATCTATTCTTATAAGAAGTTGAATTACTATGGACATGAATTATTTTCTATTTGCGAACAAATCAATCTAATTACTTCTTGATTGCACCTACTAGAGTCTATGAAGATTTGTTTGATATTCCATATGACTCTTCTTGAGCCATATAAGATAATAGATATATCATAAAGAAAAAAAATGACATTTCTTCCTATAGAAGTGGATAATAATAAAGAATTTAAAATTAAAGAAATTTTAGATTTAAGGTGGCATCAAAAATAAATTAAAATAACTTATTTATTGACTTGAATATAATATTAGTGAATACATATGGGAGCCAATCAAGAATCTTATAAATTTAGCAAAGAAGGTTGATGCTTTTTATTGATGATATTTGTCAAAATCAAGATTAAGAATATAAATTTTTTCTTATAATAAAAACATAGTTCAAAAAAATTATATTTTATTTTCTATCTTTTTGAACTATGTTTTTATTATAAGAAATAAAAAACAATGATATAATTTTTTTATTATAAGAAAATTATATCATTGTTTGAAGAGAGTTGTAAAAGCTTCAACAATGATCAAATAATAGAGTAGTCTTTATGCCCTAGTATGGGACACTATTAATACCTGAAAAGACCTATCAACCACCTTTTAAAGAAACAAAGATGAAAATATGTAGCAAACACAATTAGCCGCATCTTATACTTCTTCAACATATGATGATTGTTTATTGTGGAACTTGTCCTTAGATGGGAGGTAATGTCACCAATATATATATTTATTTAGATAAGAAGTATTAAATAGAAAATAAGTGTAGGTAAATTTAATAGTATTTTATGACAAAGCTTCTTAAAAGTTTTACAAATGAATATTTTATTTTATACATGTTTGTAATTGATTGATATGTTAGAAACTTGGCCAAGAAGTTAGCCACGTATTACATGTATTAATAACTTGTGATTCAAGTTAACTATATAGTGCACATATAAAAAACTTATTTTGTAAGTTAAACATATATCTTATAAATTGGATACATGTCAAAGGTCCTATAGAATATTGCAACGTAGCTCTTTATTAGATAGTTTATATGAAGGCAAGAATAAAGTCTTCTTCATTCCTGTCAACATCTTTCTAGTCCTTCTTCTTATTTCAAGAATTTCTTGTCTTATTGTCTTTAGCAATAGCCATTCTTGTTTAATATTGTACTATATTTTGAGTGATTTTTTAGTCTTTTTAAGTGATTCAAGAATGTATTGATCTTTTAGTTCATTAAGATTCATATCTTTAATAATATATATGTATGTATATATTAAAAAATAAAATTCAAGTCTAAAAAATAAACACATATAAAAAAATATAGCTAATAACTTATTATTTTTTTAAATTGTATGTAAAGGCATAAAAATCTAAATCTTTATGAAGCAATAGAAACTATAGAATAATTTTTTAAAGATAAAATTAAAACTTTGATATGTAATAATATTCAATTTGTTGCTATAATCTTGACATATTAAGTACTTTAACAAATAAGTTATTCTTCTATGCATAAATATTTACATGTTATATTATTTTCATTACTAATAAGATAATTTGATAAATTTTATTAATACTATTTTATAAGCTTTAATGATAAAAAAATAAATTTAATCTTATTTTATTAATAAACAAACCACCAAATATATATCACAATATATTAAACCTAACCATCAAATTTTTATAGAAATTTTGTATAAAAACCAATAGTAGTTTTTTTAATCTGACAATTAGTATGTAAAATAATTAATAACATGATCCTTTGATAGCTAATTAAAAAATTTTACTACCAATTTACAATACCTCATCTAATTGCAATAGAAATTCAATACTAAGATTCTACAAATTGTACAATAAGAAATTTTTTTGTTATTCTATAATTAAGGTCATGTCTTGTTAAAATTTGAATCTCCTTGAACCACTACAAAATACTGCCCTAGTTGCAACCACATATAACATACTTAAGAAATTAATATCTAAATCTACAAGATAATAAGAAGATTTTATTTTTCAATAAATGACATCTGTATTTTAAATGTAATCTAAATAATTAAAAATAATTAAATTATATAAGATTGAATTTCTCACATATGCAAAGAATTGATTTCAAATAAAATTTTCTTATAAATATTCCATTTTTAGATTAAATAATTTTTAAAAAGTGTAAAAAATATAATTAAATAAAATTATCCAAAAGAAAATTCTATCAACACAAAATCAATTATGTATTTATTTATTTTTCTTTTTTGATAAAAAAACCATATAAGTTTCAAAAATTAATAAATCATAGTTTTTATTATTATTTTTATTGTATTTCTTACACATAGGATCTGTGTATTGTTGTGGTTTACCATTTCAGTTGAGTGATTGCTTGGACACATTTCTTGCTGCATAAAAATATAAAAAACATTTGCTAACAAAATATTTTATGTAATTTATTATATAAACTCTTAGAGAGCTTAATTAACATTTGGTCTCTAAATATAGAAGTTATCCTTTTCATTTTATTATTTATATTCTTATAATAGAATGGATAAGTAGACAAGCATGTAGATACAGGCGCCTTGTAAAACTATCACAAGTATAAAAGTAAAATACCATACACATACATATACAACATAGAAGATAACCCACGTTGCAAGAAGGAAAAGAAACACAGAATCATGCACTAACACACTCAGATAATACGAAAGCCTCGTGTTACAATATTTCCACTCACCTGGGCATTCGATAACAGAGACTCAATCTCACACACACACCAACACACAAACAGAGAGAGAGAGAGAGAGAGAGAGGGAGAGAGAGAGAGAGAGGGAGAGCGGTGGTGAACAATGACCATATTCTGATAAGGTGAGAGCACCACGGAATAACTGTTGCAAAAGATCCCCATTTAAACACACACACACACACACACACACACAGAGCGAGAGGGAAGAAGAAGATTCAAGAGAATAGGGGAGATCATCCAGACGCGATCGACGCAGCGCTGGTTTCTAGACAAACAACAACAACAACAAATAACAAAAAAGTAAAATCCCACCCCCCCCTCCACCCCTGTTCCCAGTCAAGCCATGCCATGTCGCGTTGCCCCAGTCTGAGCTTCCCTCACTCACCCCGCATCGCCCTCACTTTGACGTGACTTCCACGCGCTCTCTCTCTTCTCTCTCTTTTGGGGAGATTGGCACTAACTATATGATGTGCTACCGAGTTCCTGCACCGGGAAGAGCTGGCACCAAAGCCCACAGTGCAGTGGAACTACTATTTCACACTCCTTCTCCACCCACCCACCCATTCATCTAGTTACTTAGTTAGATCACCCACACTCCTGATCAGACCGGAGGATCTCCCCATTCAATCCAGGCATGGACCTCGACACGCTGAGCCGGATGTTCGTGGAGCACTACTACAACACGTTCGACACCAGCCGAGAGACGCTGGCGGTGTGGTACCAGGAGCAGTCCATGCTCACCTTCGAGGGCAACAAGACGCAGGGCGCCGAGGCCATCAGCGACAAGCTCAATGCCTTGGGATTCCAGCAGTGCAAGCACAACATCTCCACTGTGGATTGCCAGCTCTCGGGCCCGTCCGGAGGTGTGATTGTGTTCGTGACTGGGAACCTGCAACTCCCCGATGAAGAACACTTGCTCAAGTTCAGTCAGGTGTGTGTATATGTGTGTGCGTGGGTTTCGGAACAGGTTGGAACGAAATGTGAATCTTCCGCACCGCAGTTGTGAAACCAAACAACCTTAGAAGTGTCAGTTTCATCTCGGGGAACTTTCGCATATACTGACGCTCTGTTTATTTTCTTATCTTTTCTCTCTTTCATTCTTCACCGCGTTCTCCTTTCACTGTTGAGGTGTTTGTTAATGCACCAACATTGCTATTTTTAAAATTTAAAGTTGTAACCATCGCTAAAAAAAATAGAAAACCTTGAGAATTGGGTAATGAGTGATGATCTCTTAGTTGAAGAGAAGACGGTTCCGTTAACAATTACTAGCAGATTCGATAGGAAGACGGCCTTCATCAGAATGCACAGAAAGCTTATTCTGTGTAGAAGTTGCTGAAGCCTGAAATTCTTGGTCAGTAGTTTCTGGCACTGCGAATGTGGTCACCACAAGGATTATGATCTGAGGTTTGCTAATTGGCAGTTAGGGCAGTCCCGAAAGTTTTCAAAATAACTCTCATGTTGCTGTTCTCACCTTTCTGCTGCAGATGTTCCACCTCATTCCCACACTCGAAGGAAGCTTCTACATCTTCAACGACATGTTCCGCCTCAATTACGCCTGAAGGATTCGGTCAACAACGGTTCAGATAGCTTGCTAGAATCACAAATAGAAACATGAATACTGTTTTGTTTACTCACAACTCTCAGAGACCTCAGAACAGCAACGTCTTTTAGCTATCACAAAAAACTTGTTAGTCACAAACTCCCAGACGTTTTGCTTCCATTCGATGTCCTTCTCTTCGGCGTCTGGATCATCTGGAAGATATTGTTAATTCCAGTTCCGCGAGGGACTGGATGTGATATTTCTAATTCAGGACAGTTATAACCAGTAGTCTCTCGACGGTGCCGTTCAATGGGAAAAACATCCATGAAAACTCTCAGTTGAAGTATACATGAAAGACCATTATTCTGAAACTGGTGGGACCGTAAGTAGCTATCGAAGGTCCCTATTGTCAACATTGAATGGGTGGGGCCTCATTGTATTGTGCTAGACTTGTTGCTTAGGCTGTGGCTTTTGACTGGAGACTGAGAATTAAGGGTGACATGAAGCCCCACAAAAGGAAACGCCCACTGACAATGTCATCAGCTATTGTGAATAAGTGTGTGCCACCTCATCACCGAGCTCAGAGAAAGTCTAACTTGGAAGCACATCCACAACACGAAAATTTAGTTGTATTAGAAACATAATTATTTCAGGTTGAACCACGATGGTTGTCTTATGCGCATTAAATTATTGCACATATACAACACAAATCACAAATTTAGCCAAGATGATCAATGAAATTACAAAATAACACATGCCATAAGAAAACTTTGTAATATATGTATAACGAACAAAGATTACAGTTTTAGATCTTTCGTTATAATTCAAAGTTAAATTTTGATTCCATTTCAAATCCATCTTCCAATTTCCAAAATGTCAATGCAACATATCATTCCTGTCTTGTTAAATCTAAACTTTAATGACTAAAAAATGAAAAATAAGTGTACCCATTTTTTGGAACTCATCCCAAATTACCCCAACTTGGTCTCAACTATGTCAAAACAGTAACTCAAATGAAGTTTAAGATCCAATTCAAATTTGAGACAGAATACTCTTGTTAACATGGGGAAGAATCTCTGTCGGCGTGGTGAACTACCGACAAGCGAAGCCTGATTCTTTCATCATTTTGCTCCCCAACTGCCAGAACCGACTGCGTGTCATGTGGCTGCCATAATTGATAAATGGCAAATGAGCCGGACGAGCAATCACGCTGACAGCTAACTTGGGCTTGAGTAGTTTCAACGACTTGCACGAGAAAACCGAAGTTGCTATCGTCAATGCCAAAAACGTAAAGGAAACAAATCACATACTCAATATAGGAAACTCGTTAAGGCTTTGATATTTACGTTTATTTCTACAGATGGGTTACCGACATGTTGACACGGCCAGCGGGTACCACGATGAGGTTTTGTTGCGCGAAGCACTTGAAGATGCTTTAAGGATTCAGAATTGGTGACGAGGGAGGAGATGTCTGTGACCACGAAGCTTGCGCCGGACGACATGCTTCACTTTGCTTCTAATAACTGATGAGAATCCCCTCGTGCAGTAATACCTTAGCTTCTGGCAATCCAGTGCACTGGGCTTCGTTTACCTGTTCATCACCCACCGACCTCTCGGATTGAAGAAGGGCTCGAAGGTGCCGCTCACGGAGATCAGCATATTACCCTTTGAAATGCGCAGCACAAGGGCTACTCTGGAGTACTGTGTGCAGCAAGGCTTCACAAAGTGCGTTGGAGTCGGCAATTTCAGCGTTTCGTCTCTTCAGGAACTTATCTTCTTCGCTCAATTACCACCAGCTGTTAACCAAGAAAGTATTCCATCTCGTACAATCTAATGCAGACTACCACGTTATGGGGTTCAAGACTACAGTAACAATGTGAAGTTACTCTAGATGGGTTCCATTAACTCTTCTAGAGGTGGATTGGCAACCTCGGTGGCAGCAGAAACGATTCCGGGAGTACTCTATGAGCATGGGTATCGTTGTGGAAACGCGGCCTCCGTTTGGAGCTCCTGGCTTGTTGTACAGGACTGATGATTTACTCTCTAAATTTGTTCAGAAGAAAATTGCAGAGAAACATCTGAAGATCACTGCCCCGATAAGTGAGTTTGTTAGGTCATTTTTCGCTGCTCCCAGGGTTTACGATATGACCGTTAACGTGATAAGTTAACTGTTCGGGGATCTTTAATGTCCTTGGTTGTCTTTGTTAACTGAAAAGCAGGAGACACATTCAAACTTTGCAAAATTCCAACTAATGGATGCAATGGTTAGAATCACCTTTGACCACAAACAGCTGTCCCTTGTTCTCATGTTTTTCTTGTACTTCAACAACTAGTGCGCATATATATATATATATATATATCGAGAGAGAGAGAGAGAGAGAGATTATAACAAACAGCCACCATGGATGACTCGTAGTCATTGTTGAGCATTAGAAGAAACTTGTCAAAGAAACGAAACTAATTTTCAAGGCTTCATGGCTTCTATCACATACATGTAATCTAACTTCACGAATGTGATATTTGTGAAGCCAGATGTTGTGGCAAGGTTCTCCCATTCCTCTGCATCTCGCTCACGCCCGTGCGCGGAGACCGCCATCATGGTAATATCTGCTTCGAATGCACACATGTCGTCCAGAGACGACTCTCGCAAGAGGGTGGTGGCGGGCAGCACGGCATCGACCATGATCACACGCCCGCGAGATGGCAGAGCTTTGTGGCAATTCATCAGGATTTGGATATTGAGTTCATCGTCCCAGTCATGAATAATGTTCTGAAAAAAAATCAATCCAAGGTTCAATGATCCTTAAAGTGGGTTAAGTTATTACTGGCACAAACGGATCGTGGTCCAACAGAACGTTTGATTGCGTTTTGTTTCAGCGTCTAAGGTCTGAGAAAAGCCTCCCATTGTAAGCGCTTTCGTCTCTGGAAGATCAGGATTACCCACATACAGGAGCTCAATCGGGACCTTCTCCTGCTGCTCTGGTTATAGAAATTGTCTCGTGCAATCTGAACTGAATACCACAATTATGAATGCACAGAAGCTCCAATTTGAGCTACAACAATATTAAATTACCGACTCATTTATAGAATGGAAGATCTGAATGACGAAGAAACCAAACCTTTAGGAAGAAAGCATCGCAGTCAGGCGGAACGCTTTCAAACATATCTCCAGCGATGTGCTCCACACCTGCAGGGCTTTGAATCAATGTTGTTACTCCCTTTCTAAAGGCTCTAGGAATTGACTAAAATTTGGTGATTAGCGTAGCTGCTTGGGTGTATAGGTCCGTTTATGAAACCTCTCGAATAAGCTGTTCCTCTCTGTGCAAGTCTCTCCTCGGGCCTTCTACTATTTTGTGGTTGGAATGAGACTTGGAAGATGTACCTTCGCGTTGTGGAGCATGGGCGATCACATGCGGCAAATCGAAGTTGATGCCCTGGATGTGGGGATATTGCTCAACAATTCTGCCAATAGTGGTGCCGACACCGCCACCCACATCCGCCATGCGCTGCACGTCCTTGAACCCCTCGAACTTCGCCAGCATGAGGTCCACGAGCTGGTGGCTGTGGTCAGTCATTGCTGCCTGAAACACATTGCTATAGTCCGGATTTGCAGCACAGTACTGAAACTGGTGCTTGCCACCGTGCGCCATGGCGAACGGCACCTTGGATTCCAGCACAGCCGCAGTGAGGTGCTTGCATGATTCGATAAACTCTTGACCGAGACTGGTCAGCAAGACGTAGTTCGCCATCGTTCCCTCGGGTAGGTTCCGTATCAGAGCGCTCGACATGGGCGTCAGCCGGAAGGTCCGGCGCTTGTCATGTCTCGCCTCTTCCTTGAACACTCCTGAAAATCATTACCAACCCATGCAAAACAAACCGTGAGATTCATTTTTTTACTACATCGAACGCGAGTTCAACACAATTGCATTACTCAGTTCGATTGCATGACTTTCAGATAATCGCACTGCGCTCGGGAGAATGGTTAATTCTGCTGTGTGGGAATAGAGGGATGTAAAAATATTAAAGAAATTAAATAAAAATTGCAAAAATTAAAACGAATTTGTTCATAACAGCAGATTCTAACTGCCCAAAAGTACACAAAATAATTTACACAATGATAACATACAAACTAGTCGGAAACAGAAATCAATGTATCCTGACCAGAAGCCAGTACGTGCATAGACATTCTGTGACCACTTCTAACTCTACCTCTCTGACGATTCATATAAAACAGGAAAGTGAAACAGATAATAGACTGAAAACAAAAACTCGACTGAGATCAGTGACCAGTGCTGGAAAACTGCATAGCGAGCAGCTGTAACCAACAAGCTTTCGCGTTTCTGCTCATCTGCAGCGGCTACAGTGCAGTCTAACCTTTGAAGGACAAAACACGGAGGAGGCGCTCGAGGTTCTTCGAGTTGGGCTGACTGGGCCTGTTGGGCATGCGGGCGACGATCTCATCGGCAGAAAGCGAGCGGTGGCCTTCTTCAGCTGCGGTGGCCAGGACCTCGGCGACTTGCATTTTCACGACGGCATTCAGAGCTGCAGGAAACACTACGCTCACTGCAAGCCCTAACACCTCCAGCTGCGCCTTCGCAAGCTCCTCGATCGCGCGGCCTTCCAGATCCATCTTCGCGACCTCCCCTCACGATTCCAGCAACAATGGCCGACAATCGCTTTAGATAAGATTCAGCTTCACATCGATTGCTGTCGCTCTGCTCATTCCCTGTGGCCATCGAGCGTCCATAGGCGTCGATCGCCGTCGTTGTCGTCGTCATCAATTGGCCTCGTCATTTTTACAGTCGTCAGTATCGTCAGTGTGGTCGTCAGTTTCGTCGGCGTAGTCACCATTCCATCTGTGTTGTATGTGGATGTGATATCTATTGCTGAGTGTGTTATGAAATAATATTGAGGAATTAGAATGGAACGATTGATGTTTCTGTTTAACAATGCTGGTAAATGATGATATGAATCATGGAATTGAATGATCCAACAAATCAGTGGATGGGTTGTGATTGTTGTGTAATACAGTGTGACTAACAAATGAGAAGTTCTTTAAAAATATTGATGACAATATTGTGTAGTTGTGCAACTTTTTATTTAAGCTGAACCAGAGTGACAAAAGAGCCATTTTGTACTGGGAATGAGCCATGTAAAAGTTCACTCAGAAGCCAAGTTTTATCATCAACATGAAAATATTTTCTTTTTCTTTTCTTTTCTTTCCTTTTTGAAATATTGTTACTAGAATAATTAACTAAAAAATATCCTCTTTATTTGATCTTGACCATGACTCTAAGTGTAAGTCAACCTCACCATCTCAATGCATTAAATTTGATTTATTTTAACAGAATGAGTTGAAATTAAAAAAATAAAACATAAAAAGAAATACAATATGTCTTATAGTCCCTTCACTCAGTTCTGCTTCAGTGTCAGCTGAAGTTGTAAGGTAAGGTTCCAGTACAATTCTCTGCCTTGACTAAACAAAACTTGGTCTCAGCACTTGACAGAAATGATGCATGAAAGCGAGTTTGCAGAGCAACGTCTTTCATTCCATCGCTTCAAGTCTCCTGCTCAGCTGAGATGGGGACGGTTGAAGTTGATGAAAGGGTTAAGCACCTTTGGCATCCTGGTTGCAGGCTTCACACTCACCATGACTCTCACGGAGAGTGAACCACAGGACATTTGAGAGGGTATCCGAGTGAGTCCAAGGGGGAGCATGCTGTGTGTCATGCTTATGCCCTCCGTTTGATCGTCCTTTCAGGGGTTTTATTCAACACAAGGTGTACGTTATCTCCCTCTTGTGTGTTTTGGTCGACTTGTGTCTTGATAATGTGTGTTCGCGTCAAACATGTTTTATGATCATGCATATTTGTAACGTTTTCTTTGAGTGTGGATGTGGGTAAAAATTGCTAATAGTATCATGCCGCTTGACTCATTTCTGAAGGTTTGGTTCTGCATGGTTTGTGAGTTAGTGCTAGGAATAAGAGCGATGGATGCCGGTGGAAACCAAGTAGCTGCGAACATGGCCTCTTCACCCGCAGAAGAAGCTCAGGCCTGGACGATTTGCATCAACATTCAAGATCTGGGTTCCTGAAAAGCAGTTTGGAGAATTTTGAGCTGCACTACACTGAGAACGCACTACTGCCACGGCAAGGTTAACCAAGCCCAAGACCAGCTGTGTGTGTTTGTGTGTGTTTTGGTAATATGCATCATCGGAATCTTCGAGCTCGGCGTCGGCAACAAGAGGACGAGGCTAATGAGGTGAAGTTCACAAGTAAATGTGTAGATTTATTGATTGATTGATTGTTTGATGCATTATAAATCAACAACTTAGCAAATCTGGAACCCTCACAGAAATATGAAGGTATGTGAATATATATATATATATATATATATTTGCTGGTGGGTCTTCCATTGGCATAACGAGTCATGTCAAAAACGAACAGTGAGCAGACACAAAAGCGAGGAGCACTTTGTGTAGGAATGTGGTTTGCAAAGAGCTGTGCTTCTGGTAGGTTTGGGGTTCGATGCTGCTAGTGTCTTATAAAAAGTGAAGGGATTGTCAATCAGATTGCGTAAGTCACTCAATGAACTCTGGGGACACATATGATTATCTCATGATGCTGATGTTGTGTGCAGTGTTCTGCTTTAGAGTCGGGACATCAACATTGCACACGAAGCCCAATTTTTTTCATTTTGTGTGTTCTGCTGAGTATCGTGAGTTGGAACATGCTGAGATTCTGGAGTCCGCTATTCAACAAACAACAACAGGTACAAATGCAAGCATCGACAAACCAAATTCGAGCTGTTGTCTTCGAACTATTCAGAGCCAGTAACAGAACTTATGCGCATCGAAACCTATTGCGCCGTCGAACAAGACAAAGAAGACATTTACTCAAGTCGACATCGCAGGAGATTTACCCTGATGAAGATGAGCGTGAAGAGTGCCCTTTCAATGAACCAGAAGTTGATGAAACTCCTCCCCTAGGATCTGAATCCTCCGCTCACAGGATGGCTCGATCGGGGAGGAAGGGAAACAAGGGAAACAAGCCGGACAAGCCGAAGAGAAGTTCCAGTTCTAGGATAACTTATGATGGTCCTGAACCTCGCCAACGGACAGCTCATGGAACTCTGGGGCAATGGCAAGTTCTCGGTGGAGATCGTATCTCTGATTTAGACATGTGGGTACCCCTCGCATGCTGCCATTGCATTACGTAACCGCATTCGGCTCAATTAGTCAAGAAGATAGGATTTGGTTGGGATTGATCCTTGCAATTGAACGCACAGACTGTGATTATTGTTTTGGCAGACATCCATTCTTCGTTAAGGTACCGATAGGACTCGGTAAAGAACGGCAGGAGTATTACATGCATATTGACACTGGGAGTGGCATCAGCTGGGTTAATTGCAAAGGTAGGGGACCGATTACGACGGAGGTGAGTGTGCCTTCTATTTGCATTCAACCTCTTTGCATTGATCCCTTTTGTGATCTAGCATTCTGAACAATCAGTGATGTAACACCAATATTATCACATGTTTAAGCATGTAATGTTTGTGGTTCCTATAGGGGCCACACGGACTCTTCAAACCTAAAGCAGACAGCTACGTAAACTGCAAGAAACAGGAAGAATTTTGCAAGGGGTTTCAAGATGGGGAAGAGCACCGTTGTGATAAGAAGCACCATTTTCGGTGCATATTCGACACTCAGTATGGTGATGGGCTGATCATAGAGGGATACATCGTGATGATAGACTTGATCTTCGACTTGAGTGATGGTTCTGAATCGCAGGCCGATGTTGCTTTCGGGTGCGCATCTACTTGCCCTAAGTTTCAAGTCGTCAAGAACACTCCACACTTAAGTGTTAAGATTGCATCGAGCTTCTCTATAATGTACGATGGTTCTGTGATCTTTGAATAAGTTTAACGTTTGAACGATTTGTAATCAAATACTATCGCCGCAGGTGTGCGGATAAAGTGAACGATGAAGAAACGAAGAAGCTAGGCCAAAACACCGCGCTCACAGATGGACTAATAGGTTTAGGTCCGCATCCAGGAAGTTGGCTTCATCAATTGAACATGTTGGGGTACATCTCAGAATACGTGATTGCAATATGCTTCGAACCAGACCTTGGGAAATCAAGACATGCAGCTATAGGCCCTGAATTACCAGAACCAGCTGGTTTCCTCTCATTCGGAAACCCATATTCCGCGCAAGCTGAGAGCACCATTTGGACAGCCAACATTCCATCTCCTGAAGAGTACGCTAATCCCCACCCTCATGAAGCGAATTCGACGAATTTGCAGTGAGCTACTTGTTTGCATTGATAACCAAACCCTTCACTTGTGGGTGAAGTCCACACGAGTATTCCAAACACGAAAAAGATGAGACTTGCGCTCAAAAGGAACAGTTAAGAGCGATTAACTTGTGAGACGACGGTTGTTTCCAGGTACTACGACGCCATGTATACGGGAAGGCTCGTTTCAATCAGATATCGGGATATTGTTATCCAGCTGAGGGGGAACGAGAAAAAACGGAAGAGAGATCATCCAGAAGGGGTGCAAATGGGTTTCGACACTGGCAGCGACCTGACGTACTTAACAAGGAAGACCTTCGACGCATTTGTAACCATTGTGAGTTTCAACTTTGCGCCGTTTGTACATGAAGTTTATACGTGCATTAACGTTGTCAATTGATGCCCATTGGTATGTAGAGTGCAGCTTGATGAAGAGGCCAAACACTTGGGATATGAAATTACGAGAGATGCAGACGAATTTGTGAAAGACGAACAGAGAAAATGCTGGAGAAAGAAAAGGTGGATTTGCTAATTTGGTGATGATTTCTCTCTGTTGAAAGATGTCTGTGTAGTCCATGCTTCCATGCTAATTGTGACTACAAACATTTCAAAAAATCTTGAGATGTAGTGGTGGAGAAGAACCTTCAGTGGAGGATTTCGGAGACATGATCCTGGAGTTTGCAACTTTTGCCGAGGACGATACTAAATCTGAATTGGTCATCAACCCGAAGTACTACATCACTTCAGAGGTGTGTATGAGACTGAACTGATTAATACTTGCAATGTGCTCGTTACGTTTCCAATGAAATTTGTGGACGTCGACATAAGGAACTCCAAAAGAAACCATGTTACTAGATCCATCTCAGTTTCAATGACACATTGCAGGGCTCTGGAAGACAGCATAGAACTTGCTTCAATATGCTGAAGGAAACGGAGTTCGATTTTGGCAATCTGGGAGGTATTTTAGTTGATAAGTTCGAGCAACTATTTCATAACATTTCTCCGACGTACTTTTGGTACATCTTTCTACATTTGTGCAGATTTGGCAAGCCTCAATTTCATGAGATAATATTAACTATCAATTGAAAGTTGGAGAAACTAATTCCATGCATGTGGTGGTGGATTTATAGCGGAAGTTATGAGAGGTCACTTGCTCCTTTTCGACAATGAGCTCAATCGAATAGGGTGGCGTAGAGTTGACTCTTGCAGCAGAGTGCTATGATTCACACATTCGACGGTATAACCTTCCCAAGGATTGCTTCCATCGATATCAGATAATAAAATCCTGATGCATGTGCTCGTAGAACCTGTACATTAATCGGCAATTCAACAAATTCAGTAATAGATTTTGGAAGACGCCCACTGACCAAGGAATGCATCGTTGGAATGTGCTCGTCATCTATGAGAGCAATGCTTGCATACGATGAATAGATTTTATTCACTGGCAAATGTTTTCAAAGGGGCATGTTTTATCGTATGGGCAAAAAAACACGCGCTTCCCACAAAATCCACAAGCATAGGCTTCATTTTGCAAGTTTTCAGTATTAAGTACTAAGGAACATTGCCAAACTCATGCGTCCACTCAATGTATCTTGATATACTGGAATAATATGCTAACGACCGAGCCGCAGGTAGTTATCACCAAACCGAAGTGATTTCCTCAAACTTTTCCTTACAAGCAACACCAATGGAGATGAATCCCATAGGAGTACATCCTTCAGCCAAATTGATACCAATCACATTTGGATGAATAAACCTGTATGTTGACCATTCGTCCATAAGAGCTTTCATACTATAGAGAATGTTTAGAAAGACACAAGAGTAATAGTAAGTCATACACACACACAAGAGTAGTAGTAAGTCATACATACAAGAGGGTTTCTAAGGAGAGAGCTTCACACACACACACATCTAATGATCTGGTTGTGTCTCGTATACAAAAAGAGAAAAGAGAGGAGAGGATAAACAATACTTCTCCACTAGACTCTAAATACTATAGCTTTAGTATTTACTATAGTCTACAATAACTATTATGGAGAGCACCGGCTACATTTAATGATCTCAATACTCCTCCTCGTTCATCATAATATTTACATAATATAAAATTTGTATAGAATCATGATCTATACTTTTCTGTGATCTTGCAAGATCAAGAATTGTTGCCTCATTAAAACCTTATCTAGGAAAACCTTATTTTATTTAAGGACAAAACTATAGATGAAGGAAAAAGAGTACAACATCATTTTCTTTAATTATTTAAAGATCTCATTAACTTTCATATTCAAGAAAAGCAAGTCGTCGCATACCAATGCCATAAGTAAGTCGACGATGGTTGCTTAATGGAAGAGCTTTGGTGAAGAGATCAGCAAGGTTATTTGTAGATTCAATTTTCTTAATTATAAGTGCTTGATCAGTAATCAAGTCATGAGTATAACTAAAATACTTTAAATCAATATGCTTTGTCTTGTCGCCTTTAATGAAACCAACTTGCATCTATACAATACAAGCACTATTATCTTCATGGAAGATAGTTGGAGAATCATCATATGAAAATCCACAAGTTGTTTGAATGAATTTATGAATTGATCGCAACCAAATACATTCTTGAGATGCTTCATGTAAGGCAATAATTTCTGCATGGTTGGATGAAGTTGCAGTTATTGTTTGTTTCACTGATTTCCATGATATTGCAGCTCCATGTCTTAAAAATATATATCCTGTTTGAGATTTAGCTGTTGCAATATCAAATTTATATCCTGCATCACAATATCCAACCAATTTTGGATCTCCAGATTTTGTGTAATATAATCCCAAGTCTTCAGTACCTTTTAAATAAGGTAATAAATGTTTGATGTCATTCCAATGTCGTAGTGTTGGAGGTGCACTATATCTTGCAAGAACACTAACTACAAATGCAATATCTGATCTTATAGATGTAGCTAAATACAAAAGTGCTCCAACCGCTGCGAGGTATGGATATTGGTCTCGCAATATTTCTTCCTCTTCGCATGGACGATATGGATCATGACCATCACGACCACGTCCAACCATTGGTGTGGACAATGGATAAGCATCAATCATATTAAATCTTTACAAGATTCGTCTAATATACGTTAGTTGGTAGAGAAAAATGCTACCATCTGTAAGATGCATAATCTGAAGACCAATGCAAAAAGTTATTTTTCCTAGCATTTTCATCTCAAATTCACATATAAGTAGGTTTATAGCTGTAACACATGCAGATGTAGTGCCCACTAGGTTAAGATCATCAACATATATAGCGATGATCACAAAACCAGTTTTATCTCGTTTGATAAATAAACAAGGGATTAATGGATTACTTATAAAATTATTTGTAATTAAATAATCTCAAAGACGTTGATACCACATTCATTCAGATTGTTTTAAACCATACAAGGCCTTACATAATTTAATACCACGATATTTTCCTAGAGTAGGTTGATTTGAGGTTCCTGTTTTTAAGCCAAGTGGAACTTTCATATAAATATTTGCATTAAGAGAACCATATAGATATGTAGTAACTACATCCATTAGATGCATCTCAAGGGTGGCATGAACTATCATTCCAATAATATATCGAAATGTAATTGAATCCATGACTGGAGAATATGTGGATTCATAATCAATGCCAAATCATTGAGTAAATCCTTCAGCAACAAGACGAGCTTTATAGCGGGTTATTTGGCCTTGAGCATCTCGCTTCCATATTAATATCATTTTATATCCCACAGGGCGAGATGTAAGAGTATCTATAATTAGACCAAAAACTTTTCTCTTACGCAAAGAGGCATACTCCTCCTCAATAGCAGTTTTTCATTTTGACCAATCTGAGCGATGCATCGCCTCTTCGATGGTTTGAGGTTTAGGATCATCTTCCTCACACAAAAGGGCTTCTATAATCATATATGCAAATGATTTATTTATCGTAATAGATGGTCTGTCCCAAATATCATCTGTAGCACAATACAAAATAGATAATTCTTTACTCAACTTGTTCTTATTTCTTCAAATTCTAAGATTGTTTTTCATAGGAATTGAAGGTACATTATGCATGGATATATCATCATGAATTGGTAGTCCTGCAAGATGAGTGGTAATTTCTTGAGAAGTAATACCAGGATTAGTTAATTTTATAGCTTTCTTCTTATGTGGTTGCTTATCTGGTCCATGAGTTCTTTTAGTTGTTGTTGTTATAACTTGAAGTATTGTAATCAATGGCACTGCAATCTGAGCAGGTGCATTCTCAGCCTCATTAATAGGAACTCTTGTAATTCTAGGTGCATCATTGAAGCCATCAAGTGTTTCATCCGCGATTCATTTTAAATGCAAAATCTTAGCAATTTCAGTTTCTACCAAAGATGTCATAAGATCGGGATTCATTGTAAACGTTTCTGGTGCTTCAAATATGAGTACTTTATTTCTTTGTTGATTGGATACTCCTCCTCAAAGAGATGGGAATACATTTTCTTCAAAACGACAATTTTACAAACATGCACGTAATAATGTGCCAGTTGATGGATCAACAATACAAATAATGCTTGGTGAATCAAAACCAACATATATGCCTTCTTGTTGATGAGCTCCAATGGTACGCCGTTGAGGTTCTGGTACTCAAATCCAAGCACGGCAACCAAATACTCGTAAGTGAGATACATTTGGAACACGACCCAAAATGAGCTCATGTGGTGAAACAATTTCAAGAGAAGAAGGGCGGAGGCATATTAATGCTGCAACATGTAAAACTGCATGACCTCACATAGATGCAGGTAGATTTGCATGAAGGAAGAGTGGTCGGATAACAAGTTGTATACGCTTTATAAATGACTTTGCAAGTCCATTTTGAGCATGTTCATATAGAACACAATATGTCAACTCGATTCCTGTTGTAGTACAATAGTCTTCAAAAGACTTTGATACAAATTCTTTTGCATTATCCATACGCAATGTTTTTATAGGATAATCAGGAAAATGTGCCCAAAAGCGAATAAGCATAGATATAAGATTGACAAATACCATGTTTTGAGTTAATAATAATGAAACATGTGATTGTTTACTTGATGCATCAACAAAGACCAAAAAATAATGAAATGGTCTTGATATTGGATTAATAGGACCACAAATAGTATCATGCAATCTTTCAAGCATTGGTGGTAATTCTTGTGGAAGTTTTCAAATTGAACGCCAAGTAATCATTTTACCTTGCATGCATGCACGACATAATTCCATAGAGATTACATCTTGAGGCTTTAAATTGTGCCGAGTTATACATGGAATGATCTTTCTAAATAATGTGGATCCTGGATGTCCCAATCGTCCATGCCAGAGAAAAATACGACTCTCTGAGATAGATGATGCAAAATTAAATATAATGGGAGGCCGAATCACAATTCGGTATAAACCATTTTTTGTAGAAAAAGCTTTTTCAACAACTTTATGATTCTTCACAAGAACCAAAACCTCTTTTTTATTTAAAGTGGCGGTCGAGAGGTGATAACCATTAATACGCAAATCTCGGTAGCTCATCAGACTCCGAGGTGCTGAGGGTGCAAACATCGCATGTTTACATTTTATGATGGAACCCACAGGTAATTTTACCATCGTTGTGCCCTCTTAGAAACAAAACGCATTTGCTCCAGCCATGGTCATCATATTTTTAGTTTGCCAAGTTAAAGATTTTTCAATAAAAAATCCTCTATCTCGCAAGATAGTATGTGTTGTTGCAGAATCAATGAGCGCATCATTTGATTCATCATTAAAGGTTCTATCATTCATATAAGCCTCTAAGTCATCAACACCAATTGAATCCATGGACGCATCCCATGGTATGAACTTCATGAGCCTCAGCTCGTAATTTCTTATTTTCTTGGAATATTTTAATAAAATATTGTGAAGTATAGCACGCATGTGCTAAATGTCCAATCATTCCACACTTATGGCAAGAATGCATCTCTGATTTTTGATTTCTACTATAATTAATAGTAGAACATTTATTCTTTCCATATGGGTAGAAATGGTCTTGACTATGACTACCCCTAATACTTATGAGCACATTTCCCATGTTTATATAATTTCTTCTTAGACTTTGAAATATTAAGTGCATGAGATTCTGGAACTGTAGTTCCAATAGGACGAGCTTCCGCATTGCGCAAGAGTAGCTCATTTTGCTTCTCTGCAAGAAGTAGATAAGACATGAGATCAGAATGACTCTGAAATTTCATATTCATATATTATTGTGCAAGCATAGCAGATACAGGACGAAATGTAGAGAGAGTTTTCTCAATCATTTCTTCTTCAGAAATGCTTTGTCCACATAATTGTAATTGTGAGACAATACTATACATTTTACTATTGAAAGCATTTAAATTTGGAAAATCCAAGACACGTAAATGTGTCCAATTATGACATACACATGGAAGAAAAATGGTCTTTTGATGATCAAACCTAGATTTAAGATTCTTCCAAAGTTCTACACGGTCTTCCATTTCCAAATATTGATGTTGTAATGCAGATACAAGATGACGACGAAGGAGAAGAAGTGTTTTCCAACGAATAGCAGGAAGTAAAGAAATACTTGTTGTAGGAGATTCTTCAAACATAATGGCATCCGAGAGTTGTTCTGCAAATAAATTTGTTTTTGCCATTTTTGTCCATAATAGATAATTGTTTCCATCCACATTCAATGGTGGAAATAAAAGAGCTTGAAAATGTTGGGATGCATTGGTAATAGTTGGAACCATAGTGGAAGCAGTTGAAGATGAAGCACTCATTATAAATAAATAGCAATAAGATGGCGGCAGCAGGCAGCAGTAGGGCAGCAGGGTAGCAATGGCGGGCAGTGGCAGATAGCAGCGGCGTTAGGGCAACGATGGCGGCGAGCATCAGCATCAGCGGTGATAGGGTAGTAGCAGCGGATTTGGCAGCAGTTTGGATACTGTTTGGCAGCTGTTTGGGGCGCAGCAAGGAGCAGGGAGCAAGCACAGGGCTAGATCAAGTATTCAGAGCAAGCAAGGCAGAGAGTGGAACAAGTGCTCTAAACAAGCATCTAATGTGTGAGGGGCCAATAAGAAGAACAAGATCATGACCCAGACACTGAGCAAGGGTAGCAACAAGTTTGAAGAGTCAAAGACTAGAGCAAAAAATTGTGATAGTGTGTAAAAGAGAATCGTGCTAATAAAGTGTTGAGAATTTTTAGAAAGACATAAGAGTAATATTAAGTCATACACACACACAAGAGTAGTAGTAAGTCATACACACAAGAGGGTTTCTAAGGAGAGAGAGCTTCACACACACACATCTATTGATCTGGTTGTGTCTCATATACAAAAAGAGAAAAGAGATGAGAGGATAAACAATACTTCTCCACTCTAAATACTATAGCTACAATATTTCCTGTAGTCTACAGTAAATATTATGGAGAGCGCAGGCTACATTTAATGATCTCAACACGTACAACTACCAATCAACCACATGGGAACCTGACTAAGGTAAAGGTCGTGAGCTCCAAATGACAATTAAGACAGGTATGCTACAAGCCATGATTACTATTAGTCACGCACAACTGCACACTTCCCTGAGTTTCAGATACATGGCTCACTGCAGTGACCCGCCAAAATCAACGAACACTTCCCAATCACGTAAAGAAGTTTCAATCTAAGCACATCAACTAGAAGTCGAGCTAATCCATAGCCTCTTCCTTGGGCATGTCCTGACCTAAAAGACACTGGGAACAGCACCGACATCCAACTTCCACAGGGGTGCAAAATCCCTCGCTCAACAAGCACACATTGGGTATCATCGGCCACCGCCATTGTCGGCAGAGGATTCCATGAACTCAAATGAGGCGTTAAATCGTGTTCCAGAAGTTTTGAATGGGACAACCCCAAATACATGTTCCAACTACACTGAAATTCACCAACTGAGACCATCAACTTCACCAGAATTCGACGGCCTTTGTTCCCATGGAGCTTGCAAAACATTATCACGCCTTCCTAGCCTTATTACTTTCACAGCGACTTCCTGCAGTAACTGAAACCACCTCACCTCAGTCCTATTCTAAGCCAAGAGCAAATGATAAGTAACCTTGCGTTGCGACCCTGCATTTCGTGTGCACATACCTTATCATTGGCATCCTCCTATTCATCAATAAGAAAGATCCTTGGTTGCACGAGGTAATCGGGTTAATTGCAGTGATTTAAAAGCAGGTAAATACAACAGCAATTGAATGATATCCTCTTAACGATCTTCACTGCAGTATATTACAGTTTTCGTTCTTGAAAAGAGACAATTTAATACTTGCTTCTTTGAATAGTTGATATTGTCTCTATGCTCCGCTTGATACTCGACACAGAAGCGCAGCAAACACAATGACGACTTTCCACATGAAATTTCTGTTCGCTAGGGATACACAATCGTCAGCCATGATGCTAAACGGAGGAAGACAAAATCGTAACTTACAACTACCCATCCTACCATCTCCTCACTCGTTTAGCATTGGCATACAGTAGCACACAAGACATTCAACAGCTACTCAAAAGAATTCACAAGCAGTAGTAAGTACCGTGACTATTTACGTGCAGCGCTGAGATGTCATCAATGAAATCAACTGAGGATATCCGTGAAACCTCAAGAATACCGTTGATGGTGGTTTATGGACGATCGCCCTGACATTGCTAGTTTCAGCAGCAAGTTCCGCCACAATATTACACAACAATCAGTACTTTAAGACTTGTGTGAATCAGACTAAAGAAGGTTTCCCAGATTGAAATTAGACGATAATGTATTACTGCACATACACTGAAAGGTTCGTACCTCATGGGATGACAGCAACCACACAAAGATAATAGCGGGGTTTGTCATTCGTGCAGACAACGATTCACAAGCCAGATAAAAACAAGTCGTTAATAGAAAAAAGTGGGAAAAAGTCAATTGGCTTAACATTTGATTGCTGCTGACTGGTGGCACCACCTGATCATAAGCCCTAAAGAATCTAACCAAATAAACCCCCACCTCCAAGCTCCGCTCTCTTCAACTCCCGTTTCCTTTGTTCCTCCAAAGGGTCAGGGCTCTTCATAAGTCGCCGTATCCGTCGATCGTGCTCACTTCGGGCTGGGAATGTTGGCATAAACTCTTTGGCTTTTGGCAATGGAACTTCCCGAAACCATGGATGGCTGAGCGCCTCATCGGCTGTTATGCGCTTGGAAGGATCATAAGTTAGCAGCCGATTCAACAAATCAAAACCTTTCTCAGACAGGGTTGGCCTTCCAGCGAAAGCTGTTGCTGGAAATTTTTCCCTCAATCTATTAAACGGCTGCTTGGTAAAATTACAACGAACACCAGGTAACTTCACAAAATCAGGCCAGATCTTCTCGTTTGGGGTTCCCAAAGTCTTAAAAATTTTATCAATCTCATCAATTGGAGATTTTCCTGGAAATAGGGGCTCCTTTGCAAGAAATTCTGCCATTATACAACCCAATGACCACATATCGATTGCTGTCGAATACTTTCTGGCTCCAAGGAGTAGCTCCGGTGCTCTGTACCAGAGAGTGACAACTTCATGTGTATACTCCTTCAAAGGATCTCCATATTGACGCGCTAGACCGAAGTCGCAAATCTTAAGTTCTCCACGGTTGTTCAAGAGAAGGTTCGACGTTTTCAAATCCCTGTGTAAGACCCAATTATCGTGTAGATACTTACAACCATCAAACAGTTGTAGCATGAGGCACTTAACCTCACTTTGACTGAAAGGTTGTTTCATGGATTCCATGAGACCCTTAAGATCGTGTTCCATATACTCCATAACCATGAAAATATTGTCAAGCATGTTGCCAACAACAACTTCCTTGACGTCAACAACCGACGGATGATGAAACGATAACAAGACATTGATTTCCCGTAGCGAGGTCATGGGAAAGCCTCCTTTTTCCTTCTCCATCTTCACCTTTTTTAGAGCCACAAGTTCACCTGTTTTCTTATCTCTTGCACGGAACACAACACCATAAGTCCCCTCATCAATTTTATTCAGTTTCTCAAATTCATCCACTGATCTACAACCCTTCAACATATCAATGGCACGCGTCTGAGCACCGTTTAGGATTGGAGATACTTCTGGTTCCGATTCAATCTCAGGCTGCTGCATCTCCCTGTCTTCGCTTCCATCATCTTCATCAAGCTCCTGCAATTCTTTCTTGTTCAACTCTCTTTCATACTCTTCTCCATCTTGGCTACTTTTTCCAATATTACCACTTGTCTTCTCTTGCCTAAATTCTCCTGGCTCTGGTGAGGTACTCGGAGCTCTATCCTGTTCCTCACTATCCACACTTCTGGACCTCTCAGCGCGAGTCTTAGGACCTCGCAAAGAAGGAGAAAGTTTGCGCTCTGGAGTGTTGGTATCTTCCGCCCAACGTGAACGAGCAATAGTAACAGGCGCTGGAGTTCCATCTTCTTGTTTCCTAGGAAACAGTGGACTGTCCAGAAGTTGTCCCGGTTCAAGAGCATCTTCCGAATCTGACGTGCCCGTGTTCCTTCCCAAATTCTGCACGTTTGTATCCCTCTCATTAGATTTCTGTGCCACAACCGGAGAACGCGTCTCATTGTCAGAGGACGACGAAGGAGAATCCTCGCCTTGGCGAAGGGTTGAAGGCTTTCCATTGGCAACCCCTGATACAACGCCAGCCTGGCTGGAATCGATGCTTCGACTGGAAGGACGAGGTGATAAAGACATTTTTTCTTCAAACCTGTTGGTTCTCACTGCTCGGCAGCTAAGACTAGGAGATGGCGACTGTTTTTCCCCCGACTTTGGATCCATGACTCGACCAACTAGACTAGGAGACACTGTGGTCTTTCCTCTTAGTCTAACGTCTTCCCTCACCTGGCCAGAGGGACTTAGTGTCGAGGACAGGCTTCCCGATGTATGACCGACAGAGGAGGATTTGTGAGGTACTTTAATGCCAGGAGAAACTGTGGCATTTGCATCTAGAATTCCAGGAGAGGGTTTGTGAGACGTTGAAGGGGATGAGCTACCAGATGAACGCTGCTGTGCTGAACGAGGAGGAGAATTAGCGCCAAACCTAGTAGAAGGCTGAAGTGATGCTTGTGATGTTGAAGCCTGGGTTCCGGTCTTTGAGTCATCTAAGTCCCAAACTATAGGATTGAACTTGCGTTTCTTTAGAGGAGAGGTATTTCTTCCGGAATCTGTAGCTACTGATCTTACTGGATTTGCTGGCAGGCCTCGATAATCTCTTGAATCAAACTCCCCATCTTCCCTTCGATTTGATGTTGCAATTTCTCCTGGCTCTCGATCAGCCTCTCTCGTCCGGATGCGGACTCTCCGTTCCATGTCCCTCTCTCTTTTCCTCTCAATCTCCCTATCCCTAGGCAGCTCTCTTCCCCTCTCTTCATCCAAAACTCTTTCTCTCTCCCTCTCCCTCTCCCGCTCTCTCTCATTATTTCTATCTATGTCTCCCCTTTCTCTCTGCCTCTCCCGGTCCCGTTCACAAATTCTGTCCCTGTCTCTCCTTTCTCTCTCATTTATCCGATCTCCATCCCGCGCACGGCCTCTGTCGTCCCGAAGGTGCAAACCCCTGTCTCGGTCACCAGGATGTAGAGAGCCACGCTCTCTTTCCCGCTCTACTACACGGTCTCTACCACTGCCATTACGAATTGGCGAAAACGGTGGAGTTCTGCCTGGAATGCGTATGTGCGAAGATGGTAAAGGCATCGTGCACTGTCACTCCTTCCGAATACCTTCCCTAGAGCCCTAAACTTCCAGCACGAAGGACTCGAACCACCGAGCTCCAAACTCAACACAACTACCTGCCGCCTTAGCTTCACTTCCAAAACCGTCCCTCATGCTTTCCAAACTCAAACCCTAAGTTTAATCCTAAAACAAGGACTTCAACATAATAACTCCAAAACAACTAACAACGAAAAAAAAAAAAAAAAAAAAAAAAAAAAAACTCAAAAACGTTGGTGAACAGGAAGCACCAACACCAAAAAGCGTCGGCTCCAAACCCTGACTCAAATTTGAGCAAAGTCATCCCTAGTCCGCTCCAAATGACTCAAACCACGAAGGAATTTTGACCGCAGCAACGTAATGAACAAATAGGCAGCAAATCGAGCGAATCTTACGAAGGGGAAGAGGCGAGACTGCGAGCCAGCACCACCTCTCCCTCCACACCACCACGGACATAACGAGCATAGCGACTGACTGACAAGAGCAATGCTCACTCGGCCACAAGCTCGGATGAGCACATTCCTCGTCTCTAAAGGACTCCTCCAAAATGTAAAGGTGCGCGAGATGGACAAAGTAAACTCTACTCCGAGATGGATGAATAAATGATGCCTGGTGTGTCTGCGTCTGATATGAATGAATGAATTATCACATCCATTCCTCGAAACGTGGTGTTCACAGAGATGGTATGACGTGGCATCCACGTTGGCAAAGTGTTACTTACTACCCCTGAGACTTTACACTAAATTAGCTCAAAATTTTCAGCACTGCTTGGATTTGTTTGTCTGCTTTGGCCTTTCCATCCAAACTGGCTTGTAAGGCTTTTGTAACAACTTATCTTAATAGTGTGTTTCAAATAGCAAGGATTGTTTTAAAAAATTAATTTGGCTTAGAGTTTTAATATTTTTGTGACATCAAAGAGAGAATGTATATGTTTCTACACTAGCATTCATCAAGCAATATTAGGGCTTCCACAATTGGGATTTGAACCACCAATCTCTTGGAGTCAACTTTCCATTTTAATGTTGGTTTAATATTGTTGCATACCAAAATAGTTTTATTTTCAAAGTGCAATTTTCATAATCTCCAAGATCTTCATGCACTTATAATTGGGTGAGTGAGTCAATATATAAGTTAGTTCAAATTACAAAACAAAACAAACAATGAAATGCAAATAAAGTTCCACCTTCCTAAGTTAATCCTCCATAACTTGATATCCTCTCTTTCTTGATACTGCTTCTCAATATATTTGTTGACAAATGATTATATCAACTTTTAAGAGAAACTCCAGATCTTGATAACCTACACTGCCAAATAAAATTTCCGAGTGTGAATAGTATCAACTTGGGGAGATACAATTGTAAATCATAAAAACACATTAAATGCAAACACCCATAAAAATAAAATATTCATTTCTGTATGAATTGAAAAGATTATGTTACAGATAAAACCATAAAATCAATCACACACACACATTCATATATAAATATATATATATATATATATATATATATATATTTATTTATTTATTTCCACCATATATATATATATTTATATATTTATTTCCACCATACATGTAAATGTGAAATTCACTAATAAGTAAGCATGAAAATCAACAAGTAAATGAAATATGTGGGTGGGCTATGTCAAAAATTGTAGCATTTTGTTTACAAAGTTTATTTCTGAAAACCAACTATGCTACAATTAGGGTGCATGCATGTGTGCATTACCCCATTGCTGCAAAAACAAATAGCTTTGAAATCTATATGATGAATACAAATAAAATTGAGATTGCTCAACAATCCAAATATTTCTTCCAGTACACTTTCTTCGAACTTTAATTTAATTATATGAATAAACCAATAAAATAATAGAGCTTTTAGAAAAGCAAAATCAAGCAAAATAAATTCACAACTTAAACATCAGATCAACAATTTGATGCACCTCCAAAAGTAATAGTAGATGAAGGAAGTTCAAAAAAGTGGCCACTCACCAGCAAGAGGGGTGACAAGGACATGCGGCGGCGGAAGCTAAGAGGAAGACGACGTTGAACTTCGGGAACCGCCGGTCACAAAACTCTAGTAACTACCCATGACTTAACCTATGCTGATGAGCTCCAACTAATCCAATTAATATTTGGAGTTTCAACCAGAGACCACTCACCAGCTATTTGGTAACACCAAGCTTGTGAGTTGGAGCCCCAACTCATAGAATACCATCGCCATTCCTGTAAGTGGGCGATAGGATAACTCCCTATAAAAGTTCCATTCCTCGCAACCTCAACTCACCAAAGAGCAGAAAATAAACATGAATCAACACTATGGTATGGATCTGCCTAAATACACCAAAGCATCAATGATGAATTACTCACCACACATGCACGCATTCATAGGAGAATTCTAAGAGAATTTCCTGCCTGAAGCACAACTGAAGCCCAGAGTGGCAATAAAAACCTTGAGCCCTGTACAACATGTTACAATACAGCTTCAGCTGCAAACAACGAAAGGGCCGTATTTGTCATCCTATCATGATTCTTCTTCCTAAACTCACATTTTCGCTGCTGCCTAATCAGTCTGAAAAAAATTGTCACCTAACCAGTCGCATCATCTAGTCATCATGGCAACCATGCTCTCCCTAGTCCTCCCAAACCCCACGTTTAGTGGAGGACTTCCTACGTGCACACTCCGCGTGCTGATAATACCCTCCATCCGGGCATCATTGTTCAATAGTCTTGTCCCAAGACCTGCACCCAGCTCCTGGCTCCAGCTTGCAACAGGCAGAAGGGCATCTTCCCCGTCACTATCTGGTCCTTGTTGACTGGCAGATCTCTTCGATTCCAAGTCTCTCGGGGCACTGCCTGAATCTCCTGAATGCCACGATCCAAAGGTCGCAATAACTGCCAAGTTGCCAGCCTGTGCTAGTGGTTTATCATCTTCCTCTTGATGTTGTACTGCATGCAGAGCGTCTGCTGCTATGACTGCTGCAACAGCCTTGTGCATGGCTGCATCTGCTACTCCATAGAGTGCTTGGGCACGTGCTCGAGCCGCTTCCGCAATGCTACGCGCCCTTGCTGCTGCTAGTGCTAAGTCTGATTGTTGGTGCAACCCTCCTGAACCCACATTACGCATAAGCAAGCGTTTGCGTCGAGATTCTTGAGCAGCAGCAATTAACCGCTGTCGACGAGCTTTGCGTCCAACCTTTTTGTGCTTTCCCACCCTCCTATGCGCATATGCATCGAAGGCTTCATCTCGAAACTGCATTGATGGCATTGCTTCTGAAGGGACACCAAGTTCTCTCATTACGGCATTGAAGGGTCCTGTTAAGTTTGCTGCCACTTCTTCTGTCAGGCGTGGACGGCCAGGTCTTCTTGGGGCTGAAACAAAACCAGGAACAACAATTTAGCTGCGGTGACATTCTCATCGGGGTTGTAATGCATATTTTTTAAAAATAATTGTATAGTTTTAAATAAGACATGATGCATAAGCAATTTTTAACAAAAATAAGTTGAGCTTCACAAATCCCAGAGGAGATAGAGAAGAAAAAGTCAAACAAAATCACAGAGACAGACATACATTAACCAAATTACCATGAACACATTCAAGAGCTATGACAACACGCAGCTAAACCTCCTGCCAATCAACTGGTTGAAAGACAACAAAAAAGTGAACGCAGAGGAAAAGTGAACGATACCAGGAAGCAGCCTATGTGCTGGCTCCGTGTAATACTGCCGCCCGCAAGGGCTATCCAATGAACTATCCAAACTGCCAAACCCAACCGATTGCCGAGGTGCAGTTCCAAGCGAAGTATACTTTCTGTGTGATTTCTGCTTAGATAGCTTATGCTGTGCTTCGAGTCCCCGTGGTCGCAAGCAAAAGGCAAATAAGGGAGGTTTCTTCATTTCCTCTGCCAACTGCTGCATGGTCGCGGAAGGGCGTTGCAGCTGCAGTCTCGCTATCTCCTGCTCCCATAGTTGCAGAAGTTTCTGATGTTGAACCCACGCTGGAGGCTGAACACAATAATAATTGTATCAGGAACTTACTGGGAATACCCCGTTGAATTATCTCAATTAGATCAAGAACATTGCTTTCTCCTAAAGAAATCAAGACATTGTACGGCAGCTAATGACATAATATTAATATTTGAAGTCAGATACCGGTATACAGTATGGTACAGGTATTCCATCATCAACATAAAATTCGTCGTGACGTTTGACTCACGAATCATACCTGAAAGTGGCGAACTAAAGGCATGCCTTTTCGTGATCGCTTATCCAGCCAGTAACTATATATGACCTTGATCACCTCATGTGTAGCTAGTCCACTGCATGACTCTGCTGCAACATCACTGTAGTCTAGGTTCATTCCCTTGTGTTCTTGCTGATGCAGATATGCCTCCTTCTCTAGCTTGTCCAGAAGCCTCTCCAAGGTGTCCTCCGCAATTAGCGGACGTGCAAGTGTTCCTCGTGCATTTTCTCGTTCGGTGTTGATTTGCTCGAGCCATTGCTCATCTTCAGAGTCCATATCGTACACCACTCTACTGTTCCCTAACGCCATCTCCACCTCATCTCCTGCTCCACATATATACCTAGAATATGGCCGCGTGAAGGGACATCCTGGGCCCCTAGGTGTAACGTCCTCGATATGCCTCACACCTGGAATCGGGATCTGGCGGCCGGAGGATGCTTTAGCATTCCGCCTGTAGCACTCTTCATGCAAATCTTTGAATGACTGCCAATGCTTCTTGTCCTCAAACTCCAAGTTCCAACCCTTCTCACCTTTCCACACTATGGCATGACTATGTCGATTTGCAGTTCCCGTTACTATCGCCTGCTCCGCCTTATACGCATACATATTTTCGCCACGAACGGAAATTATCAACATCCAACCTTGGCCATGGCAAGATTGGAGCTCAACACTAGCGCCATATTCTCGCCAACCCCTATCATGTTGTACTACAAGAACATTTGCAATGCATCCTCGACAAACAGAATCTGGATAAATGCAATCGCTCCGGTTCCTGTTCGGAAATCTCTCTTCTGTTCTAGAACGAGGTAAATCTGAATCATCGCTAGAACCGGAACTTATAGAGCCGTTCTTGAAACGCTTCCTAGGATTGAACGTCGCTTCATTTACCGAAGACACTTCACAGTTCGACCACATTCCTTTCACCGACAACTTAACTTCATCGGCCCCTCCCACATTAGACATCTCCTGCCTATCGACATGGGAACCTTCCGTAAACCACCCAGGGTGGCCATTCTCCTCCGACTTCTCTGACTGGTTGAACTCAAAGCATTGATTAAAGGACCTCTTCCTGTCGGCAATGGAGGAAAGTATCAAAGATTCACCACCATCACCAGACTGCCTGACAGTACGATCTGACACACATGAATTTCCAGCTACACGCCAGCCACCTTTGCCAGTGGAACATTTGCGGAGCTTAAAAACGTTCACACGAGGAAGTGCCGAATCACAATCCCTCATATCCACACTCCTGGTTTTCCTGTCACCATTGACCTCACACTCCAGTACTGATGAATCCTTCCCTCCATCCTCATTCTCAGTTTGCAAGTCTATGGTGCTCAAACTCTCCACGTGAATCTTCTGCCGTTTGGTAAGAGACATAGAGCAAAGTTCGCTGTCGAGTAACCCTTGAAGCCTGCAAACGGCCCCTGTGTCATAGCTTCCCAACTCATCAGGTGTGATTTGGGGGTATCCTCGTTTTACAGACGCCCAACTCCTGCAAGATACACAGTTCGATCATAAATAGAAGCTTTGGCGTTGCCTTGAGGTTTAAAAGACTAGACATGAGTTGAGGGTTACTTGATAAATCTCCTCCAGATCCAACACACGACGCCAAACTAAGGATTGCTACAAGCGACTGCTAAAAATTACCAAAGCAAAGAACCATGTTCAGACATCCGAAGCAATAAATACATACATCACACAAAAGGCTACTCATAAAACAAGACCATCGGAAAACACCGTCACATACCTCCAACAGGCAATAGTACTGTCCTCTTCCCCTTCCACAGCACTACCGATTTGTACTTCAGTAAGTTCTCCACTTCCAGCTTCATCCTCCACGCTTGTGTCCCGGACGACGTCAATCTAGAGAGAAATAAACATGTAAAACATTTAAGTCCACCAAAACCGTCAAATTTACAGCGGGATACACTTTTTGAGAGCGACATACTCGAACAACCTGCCCAGGTTAGAAAACATCATCATCAGCCAATGTATGCGAGGTTCTTACCTCAGCACAATGTGTGCGAGGTTCTGCTGGACGAAATTCAGAATCATCCACTTCATCATTGCGGGGATAGCTGCCATTATTTGTTTCTACAGACACCACTTGATGACTCCTTTCACCTCCACGATCTAAATCCTCAAGAACTGGGAGAACAGCAACCGAGACTGGCTGCTCAACTAGCATTGGTTCACAAAGTGGTTCAACCACCATCGACACGCAATTCTTCTCAACTATAACAGATTCGTACGGTTCTGGAAAAGGTGGTGCAACTTTTGAACATGGCGACTCAGAAGATGGTGGGTTCGCTTCAACATATTTTCTCGAAACTTCTAAGTGGCTGACTTGTTGCAACAGCAGCTCCCAGTTCGAAACATCCAAGGACGTGCGAGCTCCATGCAGTACAAACTTCGCAGTTGCTAAATTAGGAGAGGGGCATGAAAGGCCGAGGTCCGCACACTTCTTCGAGTCAAATCCGGAGAGCGAATCTCTTTCCCACGAAAGACGCTTTGCACTGATATCTCCGGAACGGTATGTCACATGTGCAGTGGGTAGAATTTCTATAAAACTATCAGACTCCAATACCACGTCCACAAAAAGCATCAGGTAAGGAACACATCTCCATATGTTACCTACATCAGGCCTCCACGAAGAAAGGTGGCGCCAAAATACTATGCATTCTAAATGCACTAAATTTGTCGCAATATGCCGCGAAATAAACCATGTAGTTCTTATCACTCGCGTGGCGTAAGGCTGCTGGACTTTACAAATTTTACTTCCAGCAAGAGACCTGGTTACTGATTTGAACTTCGATGACAGACATTTCATGGAATCAACAGTCGCCAAGTATGGATCAGCATCTTTACAAACAAAGCACTGAACCACACGGTTCCCGAGCTCCGTAATATCATTGGATGCATTTTGTGCGAGGTTCTCTCTTCTCTCGAGACTCGCACATTCTTCCTTGCCACTGACGCACACAATCACGTCCACAGAAGCCAAATCTACCTGACCTGACTCAGTGTTCTCGCAAGATGCACATTCGCCCTTTCCATTGCCAATTGTGTGCAACCCGCAACCGTTATTAGTTTCAGTAGTGTCCAGAACGTTACGTTTCTCAGATTCGACAGTTGAGTCTACATCTCCACCCTTCGCGCTTTCAATTGACTTAAAATTGATAGATCCTTTCTTGTCCTCAAAGGGAGGCCCTTCAGGCGCAGATCTTTCACCGGATGCGCATCCCTCCAATGTTAAATGATCAGCAAAGATCCCACTTGCATCGGGAGAAGAAGGTGAAACTTCTAAATTACCTACGAGCGACTCCACACCAGAAAGTACCTCTGTTGATCGTGCAGCCACAGCCGCAGATTGCGAAGGAGATATCACACCACTCGCTGCCGAAGTCTTACTCAACTCTGCGAAGCTCTGCTTGGACCTCATGAACATCACCAGAGAGTCTGAAATACTCGTGTGGTCAATAGCATAAGGGTCTTCAAGGTCTAGGCTCTCACAAATCATCGGGACAGCATCTTCAGATTCCTCAACTGCTCTCGCGTTGAAACCATCCTCTCTAATGCTTGAACGTTGGTCACGGTATTCCAGATCTAAGCAAACTCCTGGTAATTCCAAGCAGCTCTCACTTGCTCGCAAAAGATTGGACAGAACGCGACTGTTATTCTTCAATATGGAAGTCTGTATCCCTCCGTTAGTTGAGCCAACAATGTCCTTATCTAAACACCCCTGCTGATTGATGTTCTCTCCTTTTCCAACGATCATCGGGTCGATGCAAGTAACCTCCGCAGACTGCCTAGCAACATCTTGCTGCTGTGTACCGAACACCTCCCCTTCCAACACCTGAAGCTTAAAAATCTCTTCGTGCAATTTTACCCACTCCTCTTCTTTGTCGTCATACACAATCTTGTGAGATCTTCTTCCTCTATTGAAAGCCTTCACTACTCCATAAAACCACCTTTTCTCGTCACGCCAGAAAAGTTTTATTCTACGGCCCAGAATCCGTGCACCGTCGCCCTCGGACAGGGGGACTTCTTGCAGACGCTTAGCCCGCCTAGCTATCTTCTTGGCGGGAGTAAAATGCCTTCCCCGCGGTCTACCCCGCAATGGCCTTCCCTTGGAAAGCCATGCTGCACCTGATGAGCAGCCGGATCCGAGAAGAGTAGACGCATCATTGGAGGTTACGGCATGCGGTTGTTGAACCAAACTATTGAAACCCTGACACGTTTCAACAGATGCCAAAGACTTCAGCACCTCGCTTGCAACACCAACTTCAGCAGGTGGTTTAACAGAAGACGGCGCGGCATATTTGTTAACAACACCCTGCACATTGTTCAGAGCTTCTAGGCCTTTCGAGAGCAATACTTTTTATGGGTCTCTGAAATGTAAGAGATGCGCGAGAGGACCGCCTCAAACTCAAACTATCCACAAAGTCCTTGCGATGTTGTGAAACGTCTGAGGAACTAAGGAAGCTTACCTTGAAATTCTTGGAACTTGACGCGATATCTGATTGCGAGGCAGATATCTCTTGGATCGTCCCGACAGTCTTAGACGAGCGATGCTCACGAGATCGCCGTGACATCGCAGTCATTCCGCTGGTGACGGCTTTCGCCTCCATAAAACGACTGCCCCAACTAGGTCAAAGCAACTGGCCCAGGCGTTACCCACAGCCTACCTACAACTCTAAAAAGATCCAAGGACTGCGGTTCCAAGTGAAACTTCCATGTTTAGTGCCTGGAAACATTTTAAAAGCCTGCCATAACCAGGCTCACCCCGCTCCAACCATCTCTGTCCTCTTCGTCCTCGTCCTCCTCCTCCTCCTCCTCCTCTTTACAACCACCACAAAGGCTGATACAACTGCTAGTCCTGCCTATACATGGCCCTCTTCCGTTATTCTCACACCGCACCGAAGACGTCCACATGCATCCTCCTCCCTCGCATGACATCCGCACTGAACCGATCCACCTCTCTCCTACACAACGTACCCTGTGCGCACACACCACATCACATCAACCCCTCGCTCACCTCCCGCCCGACGCACCTCGCTCCGCCACCCCTGCCACCTACCACTGCCCGCCCGGCACGTCACCATTCCCCGGCCACGCTCGATCACTACACTAATCCCCCAACGCCCACGGGAAGAAGACACGCCCCTTCTTCCCCATTCAAATCCAAGCTCGACGAGAAGAAAAACAGAAATCCCCGCACGGTGTTAAGCATTTTCACGCCGTGCTTCGAAATCGGAAACCAAAAGTACGCAATAAATTTAGAAAAAGTCGCCTTAAAAGCGGGCTCAAATGCGGCAACCTCTCCACACCCTACCGACGACCGGGAGACGATGCCAAATCGCGAGGATAACTGCGCCGCTGCGCCGAGATGTGATCAATGTGAAGGACGCGACGTCCGCCGCGCGCTGCATCAGTGTACCTAGAAGGCAAAGGCAAAGAGGGAGGGAGGACGAGGGCGGGGTTGTATCCCAGCCAACAACAACAACGGTGAGCAGCAGCAGCTCAGCCCAGCCCAGCCCGCTCCACACCCTCGATCGAGTCCCTGCTTCGCCCGGCCCGGCCCGGCCCGGCCCGTCCCCTCGCCCTCGACCCGTTCCTGCTCTCTCCCTCGCCTGACCCGGCCCTGTCGGGAACCTGTCCAAGCAGTTCAAGACACCTCGGTGACCCTCGGCCGGAGTTGGAGCGCCTTCGGGAACAAACCCATGAGAACTTAGAGAACACACCCCTGGGAACTTAGGGAACCGAAGGACAGTTCTCTAAGTTCCCATCCTCAGTCGCAGTGTTCTCATGAATTAGTTTGTACGACCTCTACGTTGTGAACAAGTGGAACCGAGGGAAGGAACTCTATCCACTGCCATTGTGAGAAAATTGAGCACTCGTTCAATCATTTGGGTTTTTAATAAAATTAAAATGGGTGTCTTCTCGTTAGAGGATAGTTTCAAAAGTCAAATTATTGTGCATCGGTTCATCCTTAACTCATTGAATATGGTCATTTCCATTGATTATAAATATTTAAAGTTCTGTTGGCAATAACAACAAAAATAATGGTCATGTAGGTTCAGCTATTGACGTGTGTTTTTTTAACTCGTGATAATAACCAGAATGTCACGTGCCTGTTGCTTTGATTCATGTTATACTCCCATAGTTCTTTTTTAAAAAAATAACATAAAAATAATAATAATCAAATTGATCAATGTTTAAACTGGTTTATTCACTTTCTGAACATTCTTTCATAATGTCGATATTACATTTTATGTAATGATACACCACATTTAAATGAAGAATAATAAATTTAAACTTTAAAATTTCACATGTATGAAACATTTATTTTTGGCTCTAGTATAAAATAATGTTTAAAATTACCATCTTAAGGAAATGGAGTTTACAAGGTAACATATGAACTTTCTGAAATGTAATATTTAAAATAAATTACTGAAAGTGATATAATAAATTTAAAGAGTATTACCAACAAAAATAAACATTACTGAAAACAATTTAACTTATAAAATCATAGACTATTGGATGAAGTATAATTTTTTTTACCAAAATCATTATTTTCTTGGATTATTTTAAAAATGATGTGTCATTAGATTAGAGAATGCATTATACTTTTTTCATTAAATATGCAATTTTAAACATCTGGTATAGCTTATGAAAATAATGATCATTCCATACTTGATTTCCACCAAAAGTTGTGAGAATAGGCAATTTAGATTAAGTTCAAATTTTATTTAATATACTGACCTAGGAAAAAGAAAAAGAGAAATCTCTAACTTTCAAGATTATTTTCCTACAGAAAATAGCACTTACACTCTAAAGTTGATTGCAGAAACAATAGGATTACTACAATTAATTGAGCATTTCAAACACCCAAAAGACATCATGCATTTTTTTTGGTACGACATCTCCATTCAAAAAATAATGTACAAGGTTAATTAGTTTGGTTCCATGGAATCTTAATACGGCAAAATAAGATTCCATTTTTAAAAATTTCTACACATGTTTTTGACATATTTTTAAAATGTTTCTAAGATATTTTAAATCCTTAAAATATTTCATAGCTACAATTTTACCATGGTTACTGTTATATCTTATTGCACTTTACTATATTTCCTATGATATACTCCGAAAACACTTCGATATGTATTTTTATTTATTTATTTTTAATTTCTCTAATATGGTCACACTTAAAATTATACCAGTGCATCATTGTTTAACATCTATTTTAAAATACTAACCTTAAAGACCGTATTTTTCTCCCCCCTTTTTTTTTCCTTTTCCTTTAACAGTACTATTGTACTCTGTTTATTTAATCTGAATGGAATAAATAAATGTTTTCTTAGCTAAAGTTTGAGAAAGAGTGGAAGAATTTTTTAAAAAAAGATGATAATTTATATTTGTGTCACAACCAATATCAATAAGCTTAATTTATTACAAAGAAATGATAAAAAGCCTCTCAAATACTAAACCAACATATCTATGTCTATGTACATAATACAAGTATACATCAAAGATTACTCGGGTGATCTTTATAAAAAAGAATTTTTTGAATAAGACTTAAGTTGCTTTCTATATACACTCACTAAATGCTTAACTCTAATTAAAATAGCAATTCGACTCAAAAAAAATTCGAGGCATACTATTAAACATTGGATTGTTACACTTTAAATGTTTCAGTTTTAAAGCTCTGAAAACTACAGAAATGACATTAAAACGCATTGATCATTATACAGAAGAATTCATTATGAAATTTGCGTAATTATTTCATTATTGATATGACCCAAAATAATGTTCGACGTGAAGCCAAATTGGTTGAGTCGATTTTTTACTTTTTTATGAAATACTTATCAAGATATATTTACATTTATATTTATTTTTCCAAAGATTGAAAGCTAACTGCCCCGGCAATCTGAAGCAGCATCCAAAATGGTCAGTCCTCAACGACTATATATACCCGCCTAGATGTCGATGGTGGCGGCTACCCGGCTCGGTCCTGGTTCTCAACTTCAGCTCTCGGCCCGCCAAATGCAGGTTGTCTCTCTGCTGCTGCTCAAAGCTTCTTCAGCAGAGTTGGGTCCCGGTAGATGCCACCGCTGGTCTATTGTCTGGCCTGGTGGCCATGTCTGTGGATTGATTGTGCTGTTGAGATCGGGGCTGTGAGATCATCGACAGCGATTCAAAATCGTCGTAGTTCTAGTTGCCGGTTCTTTTTCCCCGTGTCTGTCGAGGGTTTTGGAAACTCGTTCTGGCGTGTTATGACTGGCAAGCGTGGTGTGGAGGAGTGTTTTTTTGTTTTTTTGTTTTTTTGTTTTTCTTTTTGTGACTCGTTTGGGGTTAGGGTCTAGAGATGGCGGGTGAAAGGATTTTTGGTATTTTGTTCCGGAAGTGGCCTCGCCTTGCGATGATGCTGTACAGTTTTCTTTGTTTTTGTAGCGGATTGTTAAATTCGTGAAGGTATGATGTCAGGGAAATTTTTGTAAGGATTCTGTGGGTAAGATGTCAGGTTCTTGTTTTGTGGTGTATAGAAATGGGTTGCCGATCAGGGAATTGAGATGTTAGAATTGTGAGTGGGATCGGTGTGAATAATCGTCCGGATTATTTTTTTGTTTTTCATCATGTTATCTGCAATACACTATACTTTTAAAGTGGACTGCAAAACCGGCATAGCTTTCTGGTTAGTGTTTATGAAGATGCACAAGTGTACAGCCATTTAGAACCGGCAGATTGCTTGTTGTTCTAGGACTTGTTTTTGGTGGATGGAGAGATTTATTCATTTTGCTGCAATTAAGCGTCTCCTAAGGATATTTTTCAACACTAGTGGGGAGGGAAGTCGTTTACACAGTACGATGCGGAGCACGTACACATCGTAACCATTCTGTAAGCGGATTTCAGTTCGGAATGGCACAACTAGCAATTTGCTGGAAGTTCGAGGGTTTCGGATAGGTTCTGCCCAGCGTCCATTCGTGTGAGAGAGTCCTTTTGCGTCGAGACGTTGAAATGGCACGCTCGTTTGTGGGGCTACATCTTAGAACGAAAAGAAACAAGAATCATAATAACAAGTACGGCCATGCTTGCGATGAGCAGCGCGACCTTAAACTAACTTAGAATTCTCATAATCAGGGCAAACTAAGGTGGAACCGACAGTGAGACGGGCTCATGATAAAAAGATGGAGTCCGGTAAGCTGCAAGTGTGAGCTTGCTCAGTCGAGGCCTTGCTAAAACAGACGTTGAAAGTGAACCTCATATTCATCAACTACACCAGTACCCTCTCTGATACGGGCGTGCTCATCTGCACTCATCTAAACGAAAAAAAACAGGGCTATAGATCCCTCTGACGCACTTTTCCACATTTATGGGGGAAAACAATCCCAGTGGCGGGTTGGTGACGGTTTGGGACGAGGATTGAGCTTCAGATGAAGAGTTCGTACGGGACGTCATTTGTTGTCAATGCTGACACATGGAGTCTGTCCCGCTGTTTAGTGCAGATGAATTAGCAGAGGCTCCTTACCTTGAATTGCTTTCGTTTCAAATACTTTTCCTTCTCAGTTGTCGGAAGCTGAAACGCTGGCGCCGACTTCACAAAATCCCGATGCAGGCGAAAAACTGTCCCCCCTATAATATCTGAATCATTCGGATTGAGGTTGCTTGGAGTGAAAGGGAGTATCATAACTACAAATTAGGGCTCCGTGGTTATCCCCTTCTTTGCATCGTCCTTTGTGCATGGTCTAGCCCAAGCCTCAGCCTGACTCAGCTGTGCCGCCTCCTGCTTCTTTGTAAGTATTCTCATGACACGATGATAAAGTTCACCTCCTAACTGACAGTTGTCCCATTGAATAGATAGTATTGTCCCCGTCAGAATCGTCGATGGGCTTGAGTCAGAGAACATTATCCACTAAGTTTTATAAATAAGTGGCGATTGTAGGTGCTATCTTTACATGCGTTCATGCAATAATTCGCAAGGTTGAGATGATCATGAACGGGTAAATGAGGCCCACTGGAATTTCTTCATTGCCCTGAGTAAGTGTCCAAAATGCTCTCAGCATTTGCTCTTTATTCCGAATGAGTTTCACACAAGTATGGGAGTATACGCACCTACGACTCTGAAGCCTACATTGGTCTGAAAAAAATCTTCGCAGGTCGTACACTGTTCATAACCAACCTAGGTCTTTGAGCAAAAGAACTTTAAGTGCAAAATTAGAAGAGCAGTACACATTTGTGAATTAATTCGAAGTCAGAGGAAGCTTAAATTTCTTCTCCTCGTTAAGTTGATGTTGGGTTTTATCAATTGCAGGAAGTACCATGATGATGATCGTATATCTCATTGCCGAGCACTTTTTGGCTTTGGATCTGCCTTTGGTGCTTGGAGCGGTTCATAGATGGCGAGATGCGCCTACAACAATTGGCCCAATGGCTCCGGAACGGTGGGAGGCGCTACTGGGTATCTGAACACGTTCGCTCTGGGACATGAAGCCATGACTATGGCGCTGAGCGTCTCTCTATTTCTGGGCGGAGCGGCATGTGGGGGCGTGTTGGCATGTCAAGTGCCTGTCTGTGCAGGGAAACTGTACTGTGAGGAACTGGTGGTGGAGCCTTTCTGACAATTACCACTGCCGTAACCAACCTGTGCTCACCCAATCCTCCAAAGCGTGTAATGCTCCCAGGCATCACCTCTGCCTGCCGACGCCCGTCCTTGTAACCTTCGCTAGACGTGAAGATGGTACAATACCAGACCTTTGTCGACCTAGAATTTCGGTTGCATGTCGAATGGATGCTCAACCATAAAAAAATCGAGATCTGTTTCTCACTCGCTCTGTTTCTCGATAGCTACTCACTCAAGTGAAGCGAGACCCATGAGGTAGAATGTAACCGCCAGAAGCCGCATTTGCACCGAAACCATTCACTGGTTCTGCAGCTTGATCGCCAAACATAGATATCTCGCTAGGGATTATGGCAGGAATCACTACTCTGATGACTAGAACTTTCAATTTCTAACCGATTAGGGTTGATATCAAATGCATCAGTAATGCTTACCTCTTAGGGGTTGATGCGAGATCTTTTGCCATTAACAGATCTACAGGATTGTTGAACTTGAGAGTATGTTTTGACAGGATGTGCAGCTTTACGGAATTGTGAGCAATCTCGGAAACGCAACACAATCGGTTGCAGGTTGAAACTACGGGCAGATTTCTTCACTTCGTTGATGCTGAAGTGCAAGTCAGAATATCTGGAATCCTAATTATTGCAACAAGCTGCAAATGCCCTTTCAATGTTTTGTGGACAATAAATGTAACCAATTTTCGGCATCTATGGCTTCAGGTAATTGTCCGCAACATGGATTTGGCAACTGCTGGTCGATCCTGCAATGGATATGCACGTTCTGATCACGTTGCCACTTCCACTTCTCCTTACAAATCCATCTTATCTTATTTATCTGAGCTAGTTCTTTCCATGATCTACTATGTGCAGTGTTAAGAATTGTCATCACAGCTATTGTCTCTTCATCTGCATTGTGTTGTGCGTCTATTTCTGCGTAACGGTCCATTTCCAAACTTCTTTGATGATCGAAACAATACTTCATAAAAATGCACTTGAGATGCTATGGAGAGGTTTATATAAAATCATTCTAACATCATATTATATTACTGTGTTTTGGAAGAAGTAAAAAGTACATGAGTAATCAAAGATCTAACAAATGTAATACGTGAATGAATTTCGAGTATTTATTTGTGTATTTACTTCGTTGAGCATTTTCAAAACAGAAAAATCCCTGATATAATGAACGTTCTTAGGATGATGTCTACAGCTTGTTGTAGGCAATAAAACACAGATAAGAGAATGTATGATTTACATCCAAATAATTTTAAATGCCAAAGAGCATTTTGTTTTGAAGATATTGGTGAAAGATTGTAGATTACCATAATTAGTAGTGGATAATTACATAATGATAACATAATTTTGCATGAATGATATACACATGCAAAATAATAAAAATTTTAAACATATTGTGTTTTTGTATTATTTACAACGTAATTTGTTTATTGGCATCTAATTTGTAATGTTTTCAACATTTGTTTTCTTTGGCAAGTATTTACAAATACAAACTATAAACCTCATATAACTAACTTTAATTAAGAATATTATAATAACATCAAATAATTATTTTTGTCCATAATATAAGTTTATGATAACCTATACTTGTATCTTGATCATCAACTTAGTTTAAATTAATTAATATATAAAAAATATAACTAAAATTTATAAACTATTAAAGATAAAATTGAAGATATATAAAATTTAAATTTTAATATTATAAAAAATATCGTCATATTTCTAATTATTTATGAATGTAATTTTTTTCTAATATAAAATAAATTTATTATAAAAAAAATCAAATTTGGATTATTTGTCTCTTTTATAATCTATTATATGATATTTACTTCCAATGTGTATGTATATATATATATATATATATATATATATATTTAACAACATAATTACTACTTAAAATTATAAATTATAAAGAAAAAAACATAAATTTATAATATGTTATTAGTTTGTGATATCCAAGGCTTTTATGAATTCAAATTACAACATAGGAGTATTATTAAAATTATATATATATATATATGAAGATTATTTATACAATATATATATATATATATATAATGAAAATTAAAATATTTTTTTATAACTTTATTAAATATAAATTAGTAAATATAAGAAGAATGTGATAGATAGAGAGTGTTGTTCTTAAGAAACATTAAAGAAGCTCTTTAGGTATGGTTAGATCTGTCAATTCTTCTAGGTATGCCATATTAATATAAAAACTTGGTCTAAAAATTTATTATTTTTGTCAAGTTGCTCTAAAAACAACCTAGAACTATGACATGTAGGCCTTAAATCTTGTGGATTTTAGATACCCTTCACATGACCTTTCTAATTAGTGGACATTGAGACAAGATCAAAGCCATTTTTTTATTTTATTTTATTTTTTTATCTTTTTAATACTTTTTTTTGTTATAATTTTTATTTAAGACTATTTATTTTTCTTGTGTTTGACAATAGCCATTTTGGTTGTTTTCTATCTTTTGTTTATATATATATATATATATATATTTCTTCAAAGTTATATCTAGATCTATGTCCATAACACCAAGTCTTTAGTATTCAATTATTTTTTAAAAATCCCTATCAATTGATATAGATGTTTTTGGTAAATATAATTTTATAAAAAGATCTGTCAATTGCTAAAAATACTGTGAAATTACTGTATACGACTTTAATTTTTATATATCTTTTTATTGCTATACTTTTTAGATCTTATGTAAATTAGATTTAAAATTAATTTTCCAAATAAAAATCTTGTATTATTTATTAGTTTTAGGTAAAAAGAACTTACACCATTAGAACTAAATACACAGACCATCTATTACATTTGTAAAATCATATAAGCCATTTCAGTCATCGTTAGTCTATTAATAAGTTATAAAAAATTATTCAAGCAACTATAATAATATAGAATAGTCTATATGAATGTTGATTGAATATTGATATGCAAGTTTGATTGAACTTTAACATAGAATCAAGAATCACAATTTATTAATTTTTATTTTGAATTTAATAAAAACATTAAATTAAAAATAGTATTGTCTTAATTTTTATTATATAATATTTAGATAATTTTTTTATAAAATAATTGTTAATGCCAAAGTATTTTTGTACTCCTATTATTATATTTTACATATTATTCTTTTGCATTATTTTTGAAATGATTTACAATCACATCTAAAACCTTCAAAATATTCAAGTAAACAATAACTTATTACATAACCAACAATAATTTTTATGAATGTATTATTAATTTACAGTTTATACATTTAGTGAGCCATTAAATGCTTCCACCCTATGCATATACTTATTGAAGTACTACAATACAACTTACAAATGTGTACAATGTTTTATTTTGTTTCTATTGTGTTTATTTGTGACAATGATTGTGTTTATATTAAAATCAAATAAAACTTTTATTTTCTAATCCAAAAATCTTTAAAATTCACTGAGTACACTATTTTGAATCAAAGTGATAGAATTCGTCAATTATTTGACTTGTTCCACCAATATTTTTATGTTTAAATAATATCTAAAATCTGCTTACATATCTTCTTCATTTAAGTTAATCCTATCATGTTCTCAACTTCAATATATTGTGTTGATTCACACATATGCAGGAAATAATTTAGGTCCAATTATTAAAAACATCCTTATGAAACAGCATCACCATAATTCCATTGTCATTTTCTTTAAAGGCATCATTCAAGTGTATCCTGCAAATCTTAATTAATCTCACATTCACCAATTTAATTCTCACAAGTTGTAACAAAAAATCAACAACAATATATAAAACCACGAGCAATGTCAATATTAGTGCCATTATCATACTACATGCACACATCATCCACAAATATGGCCAAACTCACAAACACAACAAAAAGCTTACCATGAATAAGTAGCCCCGTACAATAAGAACTAAAAACCATATTCCACCCATAAAAAACATTCCCAACAAAATGCATCATACAATAGAAGCCAACAACAACAACAAGATATTATTATTATTATTATTATTGTTGTTGAGTAACCTTTTTATATTAAAATTTATTTTCTATTAACTAGTGTAACATTCAAAAATAGAGTGAACAGACCAAAAAAAAAATAATAATAAAAAAAAAAAGGAAATGAAGAAATCTTAAGAGTCAGTAAATGAAAGAAGAGTGAGCCTGCCAGAGAAATCCTTCTAGAGGGTTCGCCCAATGGGGTCGAAGAATTCCGACCGAGCAATCTCAGCCAAACAAAAGGCGTGCGGGGGACAATCCACGCAGCCAATGGCCACAAGGTACCGACCCAGTGGAGAGAAGCTAGGGTAGCAAGGCCCAATAGAATTCGGGGACCTACCAGGTGGGACCCGAAAGGGTCGCTAATGGTAGGCCAATGGAAGGCACAGAGTGTCCCCAAGCCAGTGGATAACGCTCCAGATAATCCCCGGCCCCGAGCCATCCATTCCCCGTCGCTGCTCCCCGCTTCATGCTCGCGATCTGCAGCCTTTTAGATGCGTTGTTGATCGTCTCAGTGGATTCGGCGTTGTGTTCCTGGTCGAGCTCACTGTAGTTTGAGCCCCCCACAAAGTGATTTGATCACCTTCAGCCATGGCGTGCGCCGCAGCCGTGTCGTCGTCTGGCCTCGTCGTGAAATCCGCCGTCTCGTTGTCGTCGGCCAAGGGTGGGATCAATGGCGCTTCCGTGACCGTTGCTGCCCCCTGCGCTGCCCCCGTTGCGGTCAGGAGCTTCGCCGTGCGCGCGTCCAGGAGTGAGGAGAGCGAGACCGTCAGCCGCCGTGCCGCTCTCGCCCTCGTTGCCGGTGTTATTGCCGCGGGTGCCAAGGTTGGGTCTGCCAATGCGGCCTACGGAGAGAGTGGTGAGTTGGGTCTCGTCGCTGTGGGGGTATTTTTGATGGGTTTGGATTAGATCGCGTGAATTCGGACTGGTTTGTGGATTTGCTGCCATGGCGGGTTCCAGGGTGGGTAACCTACAGCATGAGTGTTGATCGGTGATGCTGAGAGAATTGTCGATGTGTTTTTTTTTTTTTTTTTTTTTTTTGTTTATTTTGGTTTGGTTGGCAGCCAATGTGTTCGGTGCTCCCAAGAAGCAGACAGGTTTTACCCCATTCATTGGTAATGGGTTCTCTCTGGATGTTCCATCCAAGTGGAACCCCAGCAAGGAGAAGGAATTCCCCGGAACCGTCGTGAGATTCGAGGACAACTTTGATGCTACCAACAACTTGTTTGTGTCCGTCACACCGGCAAAGAAGGGATCCATTTCCGAGTACGGACCACCAGAGAAGTTCTTGGACGAGGTAGGGTTTCATTTGAATACTTCTTTTATTCGGCCTCACTCTAAGCTATACATTACATGAATGGTTCTTTGTACATCATTATGTTGAACAACGAGATCTGAACCACGGTTGCTAAGTGTACAATACCTTATCACACGCTTGTATGTACAGGTCTCTTTCCTCTTCGGGAAGCAAGCCTACGAAGGAAAGACCGCCTCTGAGGGAGGTTTCCAGAACAACGCCGTTGCCACAGCTGCAGTTCTCGACGCTGCCTCCGTGGAGGTTAACGGCAGACCCTACTACAAGCTCAGCGTGCTCACCCGTACTGCCGATGGAGATGAAGGAGGCAAGCACCAGCTGATCGCTGCCACCGTGAAGGACGGCAACTTGTACTTGTTTAAGGCTCAAGCTGGTGACAAGAGATGGTTTAAGGGTGTGAAGAAGTTCGTTGAGGGTGCCTGGAACTCATTCAACGTTGCGTAGATTGTGTACTTTTTTCTGTAATGCAGCATTATTCGTAAATTGTCAATATTCCACTGCAAAATACCTCGAGAATTTCTAAATTTTCTGAGACTTGGATGTCGGTTTTCTATTGTTTCGTCATTGTTGATAGGTCTCCTCACCAGTTGTACTGTGTTTCAATGTCTTATCTTCGTACCTGCGAGTGACCTTAATTTTAGTAACCAACGAGCTGCCCCCAGCACAATTCAGAGATGTTTTATCATCTGCAAGTACATGTATACTTTCTGTGCTCGTAACTCTTACATGTGGTTCTTTTCGGAGCATTGACCAGTGGGCTACAGCTTCTACGTGAAGGAGTATTCATCTTATGTTCAATGTTGCAATCTGTTGAATATGCAACAATTGCCTTTTTGATTAATTCTCATCACCATATTAGAGTAGAGCAGTTCCCGTTTACTGCTAGGAATAGAACATATATAAATATCAATTGAGTTGCCCCCAAACCGCTCTTCAGCAACGTTGTGGTATGAAACTTCTCACACGTGCTTCAAGTGGTTTTACTTCTCTTTTCATTACTATTATCTAAGTAACACTTGCATAAAGAGCATATTTACATAAGCGAAAAGCTTCTCTTACCCTCTCTAACAGATAGAAAGAGTGTGATATGCACTCTCATGCAAGCTAGGATTTCATTAAGTCAATAACAAACTGCAAATACTACAAAAAATCATTCTAATTTTTCGCATTGGAGAAAGTTGTGAGTGTCAGCTTGTTAATATTCTGTATCAGGAGATATTTTGCAGGTCATTCATGAAATGAAAGCTGAAGTAGTTCTTGAAAAGCAAATAAAGGCGAGGAACACAGAAGCTATGAAGTGACAAGAAGTAGAATGAGTGGAGGTGATGTAGTATTTACATGTAATGCCACCGTTGTTATAATATTGTGCAAATATCTCAACAAGAGTCTTTACCCAAACACCCCAAATCTGTTTCAACTACATTTTGAAAGACAGAGTGTAGTGTGGTACAGTTGATGTGCCGTCTTGTCATTGTACTACAATGGTAAGATGCAAGTGCTTTGTGTGACGTCCTCCAAAAAAGAAATGTACACATTCTTTTCTTTAGGGTTGTTTTGTGGCCCCTCTTAGCGTTTCTGCATCACAGCTGGGTTAATTGAAGGAATCTTATAATTTGAAAGTATTAACAAGTGTTCTTTGTAACCTTTAATATCAAATAAAAATTTCTATAGAGAAAGTTAGTATATTCTCTTCAATAAAAAAAATCAATGTTAAAAAGAAATGTTAATTTAAAGATAGGTAGAAATTTAAAGTATGAAAATATGAAGTGGCATAATCTACTTACTTCTAAAAAAAAACAATTATAATAAATTAGGACTCTTATCAAACTATCACAAATACAAACTACAACAAATTTAAAAAATGACAATACATTCTTATATCATTAAAAGAAAGAAATTAGACAATTAAAAGATAAATATAAAATTATAATTAGAATGGCTATTGCAAAGTACAAAAGAACTAAAAAGTTTTGAATCAAGATAGAATATAAGAAAGACATTGATAAGAGTAAAGAAGGCATCATTCTTACATCCATATATATTATTTACTAAAGAATTATGTAGCAATTTCTTATATATCTTTACATCAATAGCATGATTTAATTGAGCTTCATCCATTAATTTCTTCTTTTATTTAATTTTTTTCATGAAATTCCTTATTTATAATCTCTAAAATTGCTTTTAATGCAAATTCCACTTTAACATATAACACATCTTTATCAAACATACTTTTAAAATCTATTGTTGCTTTAATATCAAAGAGTTACTTATAAGCTATGAATTTAAGATTCTTTTGTCTCTTCTTCTTTTTCTTCAAATATTATTGAATTATTCTTTATAGATAATTCTTATAAAGCTTTCTCACAAGGCTTATTTTATCAAGTTTGTTTCTTAGAAGAATTTCTTTTTTTTTGTATTATTAAAATTTTCTCTCTTGTTTTCTTCTATTAAAGCTTCTTATTGGCTCTTAGCAATATATACGTCGACTAAAAGAACTTCTACAATGTCTTATTAATCTATTGCACAACAAATTATAGCCATAGTCCTCAACAATGCTTTTCATGGCATCTTCTCTTTTTGTATTGTAGAAGTGGCATAAAACCAAAATCTACTAGTTTGTATATTTCTGTTGAAGTCATTATCTACCATAGCACTATAATTTGCAATCTTTAGTGCTACAATTCCATGTACTACCAAATAATTTTGAACAAATGCTTTTGTACTTCATTTACCAAAGTTGATTTAAAAAAATTCCTTGTACCTTTTAATGGTATTTTTCTATCTTCTCAAAAAATAATTCTTTATTATATTATGTAATTGACTTTATCAATCTTTTTAAGAATTAAAAAAATCATTACATCAAATACATCATTACATCAAATACCTCTTTGCACATACCTTTATTTAAAAGTACTTTTAAAATTATTTGTAGAAGTCTTTTCTTGAAGCCTTATAAGTTCAATTTAAAGATCTTGTATTTTTATAAAATCTCCTCAACTTTCATTTCTTTATTCTTTGATATAGTCATTAACAATTAAAGCATAGATGTGGATTAGATAGTAAAAAGTTTTACCTTAGATGCTTGGGTTGGTCTTTAAATATCAACCATGTCTTTTTTCTTTTGTCTTTTTGTAAGCAATCCTATATCTTCTGCTTCTTTTTAATTTTTTATCAATCCTTTAGCTTCTTTAAGTAAATTTTTAAACTTTTCTTACAATTTTCTATTGGTTGCTAGAAAAAAAAAGCTCTACTTTTCTTAGCTACAACGATTGTTTTTCTTTCTTTGATAAATAAGATTATTTCTTTTTGAACTCTCTATATAAATTGTTGCTTATAAATCCATCTTATGTCTTTCAATCCACTCAAACAATGACTTTTTGTAACTCTATTACTATCTTTCAAAAACATTTATTTTTTAATGCTTGAAAAAAATTCTTCCATAAATCTCTACAATATCTTATAAGACTTAACATAATTTCTTATTTCTATAGCAATAGAAAATTTAAATTATTGAACAATTTTCTTCTCAATAATATGCTTCAATTCTATTTCATTTACAAAATAACTTAAATATTTTATAATATCCTTCCTTTCAAATTAATCAATATTATTAACTATTGTCTATAAAGTCTTGTTTGTCATATCTTCTTTGCAATCTTTATTCTATTGCTATTGCATAAAAAAGAGCAATTGCTTTAAACATGCTTGCAAAATTAGGATGAAAATTTATACCTTCTCTTTTAGAAATATATCTACTTGTAATTCCAATTGAAGCTCTATTCATAGCTCCACCTTTAACTATCTTAATTTCTTCTTCTATCTATTTTAAATAATTATAAACAAATTCTAAGACCTCTTACATCAAACCTTTACTTTGGATTTACTACTTATATTATATAATATGTTTTCTTTCTTGAAAATGCATCATGTGTCGGCCATCCTTCTTCTCCAACCTTAATGATGAATTTCTAGCAATAATTATTCTTTGTTGAATTGTTCAATTGCTCTTAAAATTAAAAAAATTATTAAAAACAAAATTTTGCTTCAATTGATTTGGTATAATTACAGAAGATCACAAGAGCTCTCATTGACTGTAAAAACCAAATATCAAAGATTCTAATTCATCAAATTCTAATATCCTCTAATCAAATTATTTGATTGATCTTAAATTTGCAATACACATTTAAGACAAGCACATATATAAATCCTAAAAATTTCACCTGTTTATTTGCTACAATATCCACAAATTTCTCAAATATATAAACTTTGATTTATTTTTCAAAACAAAAAATTATTAAAAATATTTTTAAATTAGAAATATTCTCAATATGTTAAAAATAATCTAAATTACATGAAATTAAAATTAAAACAACCTTCATAAAATCTCCTCCTTAACTTAAACTTTTGATAAGCAAAAAACTCTAGAATTTCTATAGGTGCATGGTTTTCTATCTCAAAGATTGATTTTATCCTACTTTAGAGCCAATTCTCTAGATATTAATTCTTATTTTATTAAAATTATTTTTATTAAAAAATATATTTAATTCTCTTCTAAAGATTTTTGTATTATTTATTTCTTTACTATACCTTATTTTTTCTTATTTATTGCTAAACAAATCAAATAGAATCTAATTCTATAAAAATAAAGCATTAGCTTTAAAAGTTTTTACTTCCTCGCAATCTTTTTTATCAATGTATTTTTATTGTATTTTTCAATTAGACTTATCTATAATAGAATCCATATTTTTATCTTTCACCATATAATTTTTTTACAATAGAATATTGTCTCATAAATTTATTAAAAGTGAAAACTTAATTCTTAATTACCTATCACTTCTTGTGGCATTTCAATTCTTTTTTTTGTTCTACTTCATAAGAATTCTTATTATTATTATTTTATTTATTTATTATTTTTAATTTTTTTTCAAATTTTATTTGTAGACTAATTTGCTTGAATCAAAATATTCAAATAATAACTAATATTCAATAATTTTCTTTTATAAAATTATTCTAAAAATAACTTATATTTTTTTAATAAGATTTGGAACTAAATAGAATTTTGTTCTAACATCATTAATGGCTTCAACCATCTCAACTTTTCTATTATATCTTACTCAAAACAACATGTTTGCTATTAAATTGTCTTTTCTAAAAGCATATCTAAATTTTAGATTTAATGACTTAATATAGGCAATCCATCTTAACATTATAATATTTGGTGTCATATAATTAATAATAATTCAAAAAAATGGCATTCCAATTAATATCATTACATCAATCAAATGATTCTTTTCAACTTTCATAGCCAAAATAACTTTCTATAGTTTTCTTTTGACTAGTGAATTTTTGCAAATTCTGTTTTGGTAAATTTTATCAAAATAATTAGAATGCCATCTATATGAGACTAAAGTAGTATTTTTTATTCCACAATATACTATGATGATTAAAAAATATTTTGACAAATTTCTTGAGGTTGGATTTATTTACTTTAGTTAAAAATTTAGAGTGGATTTTTCTTTTAGAGATTGTGTTCAAAAAGCCAAAACTATAAGGGACACTTCAAATATAAGTTTTCAAGATTTGTGCTAACTCAATATTATCATGTTGTAACACAATTATATAATAAAAATATGAATAAAAATAATATTCTATGATCTTAATTCAATAATTAATAAATATATT